CCAAATGGTTTAGCCCTTTTGGAAAACAATATGGACGATTCTTAAAAAATTAGAAATTGAGCTCCCATTTGACCCAGCAATACCACTCCTGGGAATATATCCCGGAGAGGCAAAAAAGTACAGTTGAAATGACATCTGCACTTGTCGGTTCATTGCTGCACTGTTCACAATAGCCAGAATTTGGGAAAAAAAACCCGAGTGCCTGAAAACAGATGACTGGTTAAAGAAACTTTGGGACATCTACACAATGGAATACTATGATTTTGTTAGAAAAGATGAAGTCATGAAATTTGAAAACAAGTGGTTCTACATAGAAAGTATCATGCTAAGTGAAATGAGTCAGAAAGAGACATAGACTGCACTCATCTGGGGAATATAAAGTAACAGAATGGGAAACGAACACCCAAGAATAATTGAGATAAGTACCAGGAGGTCTGCTCCACAGCTTGGAAGCCGGCAACACATACTGAGGGAAAAGGCAGCTCAGATAGAGAAGGGAACACTAAGTTAAGAGTGTTTGGAGGATTCGCTTGGCATGTGAGATGTGTGCTGAAAGTAGGCTATAGACTGAACATGATGGTCATTCAATGGCTCTATTGAAAACTACTGATGACATTGTTTTAATAACACCAAACATCAGCCAAGCGGCACAAATGCTGGCCGACTTTGACCGTGAGTGTGGAAAGGTAGGACTACAGCTGAATCTTACGAAGACAATGTTTATGAGAAACAGCCTTGTTCCTGACGCCCCATTTGCTCTCAATGGAACGACCATCTCCGAATGCAACAGCTATGTGTACCTAGGTCGAGAGGTCAACATGACAAATGACCTGGCACCCGAGCTGCGCAGGAGGAAGAGAGCAGCTTGGAACGCCTTCAAGAACGTCGAAGAAATAGCTAAGAGGACGAAGAACCTCCGGCTCTGGGCACATCTCTTTGATTCCACTGTTCTTCCTGCATTAACATATGCCTCAGAGACCTGGGCCCTACGCAAACAAGATGAGAACGCCATTTAGGTCTCCCAAAGAAGAATAGAAAGAGCTATGCTTGGAATATCACGTTTCACTCAAATGAGAGAACGAATCCGGAGTTCTGACATCCGTCGACGATCAAGGATCAGGGACGCTGTCTCATATGCCAAGGTGTCGAAAATCAGATGGGCTGGTCACGTAATGAGATTTAAAGACGACCGTTGGACTAGAGCTGTTACTGATTGGATTCCACGGGATGTCAAGAGACCGCGTGGCCGCCCACCTACCAGATGGTCAGACTTCTTTGTCAAGATCATGAACGATCGGTTTGAGGCCCTCCATGTTCCCAGAGCGAAGAGATGCCATTGGGCTACACTAGCACGCGACAGGGACAAATGGAGACGTTACTGGCGCCCGCTTGAGCAAATCGACGACTAACGGGAAGTTAAGTGAATCACTTAATCACTTAAGTGATTAAGTGATTGAAAACTACAACACCCTAAAGGAAAGAGAGAGCAAAAGGGAATGCTTTACCACAGAGGTGGGGTGGGGTGGGGGGGAGGGGTGGGGGGTGGGAAGGCTACTGGAATCATTGGTGGTGGAGAATGGGCACTGGTGGAGGGATGGGTACTCGATCATTGTATAACAGAAACCCAAGCACGAAAGTTTGTAAATCTACAACTGTACCTCATGGTGTTTCACTAATAAAAAAAAAAAGAAAGAAAAAATATATGGAGAGAGCCCTATTGGAAGCGAAATGATCATTATTTGCTAATGACATATTATACATAAAAAATTCTGGAAGGAAGCAGGAAGGAAGGAGGGAGGGAGGGAGGGAGGGAGAGAGGGAAGGAGGAAAGGAAGGAAGGAAGAAAGGAAGGAAGGAAGGAAGGAAGGAAGGAAGGAGAGAAGGGAGGGAGGGAGGGAGGAAGGATCATGCACAAAAATGAACACAAAGTGGATTATGTAAATGAGACCTTAAACCATAAAATACATAGAATAAAACATAGGAGATATACTCTTGGATTAAGACCTCAGAGGAAAGGGCAGTTCAGATAGAGAAGGGAGCACCAAATAAAGGGTGTTTGGAGGATCCTCCCAGGAGGGGAAATGCATGTTGAAAGTAGACTATGGACTGAACATGTTTGCCACTCAATGCCTCTTTTGCAGACCACAACACCCAAAAGGAGAGAGAGAACACAGGGGATTGCCCTGCCACAGAGACAGGGGGGATGGGAGGATGGGGGTGGGAGGGATATTATCCATGGTGGTGGAAAATGGGCACTGGTGGAGGGATGGGTATCTGATCATTGTATAATCGAAACCCAACCACAAAAAATTGTAAATCTACAACTGTAAAAAAAAAAATAAAATTTAGATGAACCCCGAAAAAAAAAAAAAGACCTCAGAGATGTATTTGAAATTCTAACTCCAGTGGCAAGGGAAACAAACATAAATAGTGGGAGAACATCAAATTTAATATATATATATATACAACAAAAGAAACTAGCATAAATATAAAAGGTGACTTATCAATTAGAGAAGGTATTTGTATAAATACATTTGACAAAGAGTTACTATTCAAAAAGATAAATAATGGAAGCAAACTATCAATATAAAAACAAACAACCCAACCAAAAAAACTGAACAAAAGATTTAAATATACACTTCTCCAAAGAACATATATAGAAACCCATAGTCATATGAAAAATGGTCAACTTCACTTATTAGGGAAATGCAAATCCAAACCACAGTGCTTGCACTCCTGAGAATGATCTCTATCAAAATGACTAGAAACAACAAATGTTGACAAGGGCGTAGAGAAAAAGGGAATGTAAACTGATGTACTATCTATAGAAGACGCGAGGAGATGAAGGAGATGGGGATTAAATACTAAACATAGGTCAGGAGTTTGATCATTCATAGAGCCTCATGCCTTGCATATGTGAGGTCCAGTGTTTAACACACACACACACACACACACACACACACACACACACACACCAGAAAGCTACAACAACAAAAATGCTAAAAATGGAAATACCCTATGATCTAGCATACCACTCTCCTAGGCATTTATTCAAAGAATTATTAGAGCACTAACTTGAAAGAGTATTTTCACCCTTATATTTTTAGCAGCATTGTTCATATATGCCCAAACATGGAGTCAACCTAAATATCCATCAACAGATGACTGGATAAATCAGTTATGGCATATATTTTAAATGGCATACTCCTCAGTTATTCTAATAGATGAAAGTGTGTCTTTTGCAGCAATATGGGTGAAACTTAAGGTAGTTATAAGGGGGGCAAATAAATCAGAAAGTGAAAGATGACTGCTAGATGGTTTCACTCAGCTGTGGAGTACAAATAACCAAGGCAAATAAATCGACAAAAATAGCACTTAGAATAAAGAATAACAGTGAGAAAAGGGGGATGAAAGACTAGAAGAAAGACTAGAAAAGATTGTTTTAATAATGGGGTAACCCTGGAACTGTAATAATAAATTCAGTAAGATTTACAGAACCATCAAGTTGTGAAGCTGAGATTTCAGAATTTTAATATAGGGTCGGGAGATAGTGTAGAGGGTTATGTACATGCCTTGCACACGACTGACCTGGGCTAATCCCTGGCACCACAGGTGGTCTCCCAACCCCTACCAGGAGTGGTTCCTGAGAACAAAGCCAGGTGGAAGCCCTGAGCATTGTTGGATGTGGCCCAAAGAACAGCAGAATAAAAGAAGAAACTTTAATATAAACCCATGACCAATCAAAAAAATTTGATTCAAAAAGAATAAAAAATAAAGTAACTGAAAGGGAGTGTGTAGACCCCTGAGTTTGTCCTTGTGTTGGTGACTTTTGAGTTCATGGTGCGAGTGCACAATGTGTTCAGTTGCAGAGAGCCCCCGATCCAGGCCTCACCAGCAGAGGAACAAAGAGACAGGGGACCACAGACTGATGGTCAAAATGGCCTGTTTAATGTGGAGCTGTTAAGCATACTGATAGAACATCTAACGGGGTTCGAGGTGTAGGACTGCATGTAGGTGTGATTTATCATTTTCAGAGGTAAAGGGTTTCGCTGGAGGGAATTCTCTTGGGGGATTAACTCAAGGAGACACCCTGTCTCCCTGGGACATCTATATTGCTTCTCTCTTTCCTTTTAGTTGTGCATACTAAACTATTAAGTTTATTTCTTATTAATACTTGCATTTATTTGGATAAACACAGTATGAAATATAGATTCCAAAACTTAGTTCTCTGGGCTCTGAGGGCAAGGCTGCTGGGCTTCTACAGTAAATTCCAGACTTAGTCCTCAGGCCAGTTTAGCTTGTCCTTCCTCATGGCAATTCCGTCTCTTAAGTCATAACGGCTTGCATCAAGACTGTGCTTTGTATATCTGTCCCTAACTTTCTGACTTATTTCACATAACATTATACTCTCCATGTCTATCCAGTTATAAGCAAATTTATCTATATCTCACGGTGATTCAATAAAAAAAAAAGACTGTGCTTTGATGCTTTCTAGGCTGTCCCATTTTGATACCAGGGTAGCTTTACTGCTCGCCCTGGGTTCATCCAGGTCCCATGGTGGGACCTCCTCTTCGGGGGATTAGGAACTACGGCAATCAAAGCCTGAGTCAAGTAATTATGACAGATGCCCAGGAGTAGACATATTTCAGTCAATTAACTCCCAAATATTAGGAGCGTAGCATTAACAGTCATTCTATGTTTAAACAAAGAACATTACTCTATAGTAAGATATGAAAAGGCTATCGGGGAAATAGAAAAGCGTGTAATTCATTACAAATACAAAGTCCAGAATCACCAGAAGTTTTGACTTATACATAACCAAGGCTGACTTGGTAAATGTAACAATGAGAGATAAAACACGAAGCAAAGGTTAAAGATGAGCTCAGGGGATTGCGGATGCTTTCAAGAGAACTGGAAATTTCTCTGTCGGGTTGTGCGGGGAGGACAAGGGGAAGCTACTTAGGATAAATATGCAACACCGACTGTGCTTCTTTTCCCAGCTCGAGGTCTCCCCGCAGGACTGGCCGAGGTGGAGATGATAGAGCGTGCCCGGGAGAAGCGTGCCTGGGAAGCCACCCTGCCCTTGCTGAGTGACACTGCACACTATGAGAAGAGGAGGAGGATGATGGATGCAATGGAGAGGAAGGAGTGGGCCTTCCGAGAGCAGGAGATTGAAAAGTAGGTTCCAAATCGCCCAGATAACTCTTTCTGCACTGATGGAATACATCGATAATTCTTTTTTTTCCTTTTTTTTGGGGGGGGGGGGTCACACCTGGCGATGCACAGTGTTTACTCCTGGCTCTGCACTCAGGATTGACTCCTGGCGGTGCTCAGGGGACCATATGGGATGCTGGGAATCGAACCTGGGTCGTCCACATGAAAGGCTAATGCCTACCCGCTGTGCTATTGCTCCAACCCCGACATCAATAATTCTTTTTTTTTTTAAATTTTTCTATTAGTGAAACACCATGAGGTACAGTTATAGACTTACAAATTTTTGTGCTTGTGTTTCAGTTATACAATGATCAAGTACCCATCTCTCCATCAGCACCCATCCTCCACCACCACCGGTCCCAGCATCCCTCTCACCCCCCATCCCCCCCATCCCACCCTGCCTCTGTGGCAGGGCATTCCCCCTTGTTCTCTCTCTCTTCTTTTGGGTCCTGTGTTTGCAACATCAATAATTCTTAAAAAATATCTATACAGGGATCTCCCGAGGGTGCAAAAAAGCACAGTAGAAAAGACATCTGCACTTGTATTTTCATTGTAGCACTGTTCACAGTAGCCAGAATCTGGAAAGAACTCGAGTGTCCTAGAACAGATGACTGGTTAAAGGAACATCAGTACATCTACACAATGGAATGCTATGCAGCTGTTAGGAAAAATGAAGTCATGAAATTTTCTTAGAAGTGGATGGACATGGGAGAGTATCATTCTAAGTGAAATGAGTCAGAAAGAGAGGGACAGACATAGAAGGACTGCACTCATTTGTGGTATATAAAACAACATAATATGAGACTGACATCCAAGGACAATAGACACAAGGGCCAGGAATATTTCTATATACTTGGAAGCCTTTCTTATGAGCTGGGGGAGAAGGCAGCTGGGATATAGAAGAGATCACTAGGACAATGATGGTTGGAGGAATCATTCGGGATGGGAGATGTGTGCTGAAAGTAGATAAAGGACCAAACGTGATAACCTCTCAATATCTGTATTGCAAACCATAATGTCCAAAAGTAGAGAGAGAGTATGGAGGAAATTGTCTGCCATGGAGGTAGGGAGAGGGTTGGAAAGGGGGGGTATACTGGGGACATTGGTGGTGGAGAATGTGCACTGGTGGAGGACTGAATGTTTGATCATTATGTGACTGAAACTCAAACATGAGAGCTTTGTAACTGTATCTCATGATGATTTGCTCGAGGTAAAGGTAAAGGCCCTCCCGTTGATCGTCGATTTGCTCGAGCGGGCCCAGTAACGTCTCCATTGGAGACTTTGTTGTTACTGTGTCTGGCATATGGAATACTCTCGGTAGCTTGCCGGGCTCTCCGAGAGGGGCGGAGGAATCGAACTAATGATTAAATAAAATAAAAAAAAATCTGCACAGGGGTCAGAGCAACAGTACAATGGGTAGGGCTTTTGCCTTGCACGTGGCTGACCCAGGTTCTGTCTTGGCATGTAGCCATACAAAACATGCATACCAAACAAACAACACTCCTCCCAACTATACAGTATTTTTCCAAATGCATGGATCCCCCAATCCTTGGACTAAACAGTGAGCTCGAAATGCTGCTTTTCCTGCAGGAGACCTGGGGGTGCCAGGGATCACACTGGGTCAGCTGTGTGCAAAACAGTACCCGCTGGGGCCCTGAAGCTGAGAACAATTTTATTTTTATTTAAATTTCTTTTTTAAAATTTAATCATTTATTTAAATTCTTTTTATTTTACAAAGTAGTTCGCAATATTTGATTACATTTAATAGTCAAACACCAATCCCACCACCATTATACTTTCCAACCACCATATTTTGGGTGTTCTATCCCAAACCCCAATCCCCGCAGAATTGAAATAACATATTTTGTATTGTTTGTTATGAAAAACCTCTGAAAATACTACAGAAAAAGTATCCTTAGAGGAAAGTGTGTTAAGATTGTTGTATTTCACCCAGGGACCATTAAGTCCTTCTGTAAGAGATCACTAACATGTTGTTAAAGGTTGAGCCTTGTGTGTTTTTCATATATGTAACTGTTAAAAAAAAAGTTGTTTTTCCCTCTCTAAGATTGGTTGCCTCCTACTTTGAGCCCTATAAAATGTGGTGCAGTAACCTTGGAGTATGGTTAAGGTGTGTGGTTTGAAGTATCGCGTGGCTGTGAATGCAGCCTCCCGGTCTAGGAATAGATTCACTCTTGGGTGATGCTGGAGTGCTTGGAGAGTGGCCATGAACATGGTGGTGGCTGGGTTCTGGAGGTTTTCGGCTGCTTGGGATGACTGCCTTGGGGCGGATGGGGGTCTCACCAACCCCCTTCGGGGCGCCCTGAGTGGAACAGCCTGGTGTGGGGTCTGGCGGCACAGTTATGGCGAGCGTCATGTTATGCTCCCTTCTGAGAGAGAAGGACGTGCAATCTGGATGGTGGTTGATGACAAGATTATCTGGCTCCAGCGAGAGGTGGCTTGTGGGCATGACTGCTGAGTTGCTGAAGACAGGGGGTACGGGTGGAGTATCTCTGTTCCCTGTCCCGTTGAACCCAGAGGGAGAACAATTTTAATGAATGCATGGAGGACCTTCTATGTGCCGGGCTCTGGGCTGTCAGCAGGGGAAGCAAGAATGAGGAGGTTTTTCTGCCCAGACAGAGCTCCTGATGTTTCACTGGGGTAGAGGGGTGAAGGAGAAAATAGTTGGGCAATGGTGTGACAGACTCAGACAGACCTAGCCAGTGATTATACTACCTGTCACTGTCACTGTCCTCCCGTTGTTCATCGATTTGCTCGAGCGGGCCCAGTAACGTTTCCATCATGAGACTTTGTTGTTACTGTGTCTGGCATATCGAATATGTCACGGGTAGCTTGCCAGGCTCTGCCGTGTGGGCGAGATACTCTCGGTAGCTTGCAGGGCTCTCCGAGAGGGACAGAGGAATCGAACTTGGGTTGGCCATGTTGGCTGCATGCAAGGCAAACGCCCTACCGCTGTGCTATCACTCCAGCCCTTATACTACCTATCTGCAAGGAACTTGGGCAAGAGAATAATTTGTTCTGCTTGAGGTGGGTAGAGATTTGGGAAAGCACAGAGAAGATATAACCTCAGATGTGGGCATTGAAGGGTGAGCGGAAAACATGGGGAAATGGTAATGTCTGTGCTGCTGATAGACAAACAGACAGACAGAGATAGAATCCTTTTTGGGGCTTGGGGCCACTCAAGGCCGCCTTCTGGCAGTGCGTGGGCAACCTTATGTGTGCTGAGGATTGCCCCTGTATTTTCCCTCTGACCTCACATGACATATGTCATATGACATCTAGGAAGTGGTCACTGTATTTGGAGTGTTCCACACCCAGTACAATGCACAAGTCAGCAGCTTGGCATCATCTGAGAGCCGTCAGGGAATGGACCCTTTCAGCTCCATCCCAGAAATACTCCTTCCGGCTGTTCCCACCGCCCTCCAGATGTCCTGATGCAGGCTCCAGTTTGCGCGCCCGAGTTCCCGGACTCCTGTAATACAACACTCAGAGCACAGACACTGTTGTTATCACATCGGCAACCAGATAAACTGAGGAAGGGATTAAGTTGAGAACTAAGTCTGGATTTCTGACTCTACCAAGGAATAGAACCGTTGGTATATGGCTTTAGTATTGAACAGGTTCATGCTGAAGCTGCAATTCGTCTTCATTAAACCAGCCAGCCCCTGGTGGTCCTTTCTGGTGTCGGTGTGTTAAAATGCCTGCCTCTCTGTATTTCATTGTCTCCCTCTGCCCTGCCCTCTCACATGCAGCCATTCCTTCCGCTGGCCTTTGTGGTTGATGTGATGAGCAAGAGTCACACACACTTGGTTGTGGTGCCTGCCTGCTGTTGTGCATTTGTCTGTGATGCTCACACCCTCAGTCGCCATGCCAACCAGGGATCACTCTTTTTTTGGTTATTGTTGTTTGTTTTAGGTCATGCCCGGCAGTGTTCAGGGCTTACTCCTGCTCTGTGCTCAGGGATCCTTTCTATCAGGGCTCCGGGGACCATATGGGGTGTTGGGGATTGCACTCAGCTTGGCCACATGCAAGGCAGGAGTCCTACTGTACTATCTCATTGGCCCAGGGGTCATATTCTTACAGAAGTGGGGCTCAGGCATGTTCTTGATTGAATATTGAATTCTTGGTTGACCTTATGCTCGCAGGGAATACTGGGGGTCCTGAGCCTGGCTGTGGTGCTTGCAATTCTGCTAAGCATTCTGGGGATCATACAAGTTTAGTTGTACTGTTCACTCACAATTGGCGGGGATGCGGACCACACACTTTGTGGGATCCCAAACTTCTGAGACCCTGGGTCTGCTTGGTACATGTGGGCAACGCAGGGCTAGAATGCCTGGCCTCGCACTTCAATGACAGGCACTTTTCTGCCTCTGAGGGCCTCCCTCCCTTTTTCCCCCAACCACCGCCCCGCCCCTCCCGCCCTTTGCTGGAAGTCACTTTGAGAAACTTCTCCAGTGGTGACGCATTCACTTCTGAGTCAAACTGTCAGCCTTTCCTTCTCCTAGGACACTGGAGCAAAGTTCAAGGCTCCGGTAGCCCTGAGCCTGGCTGCAGTTAAAGGCTCTTCTGAGGAAGGCTTTCCTGCCAAGCATCTCTTCCTCCATGCCCCGGGAGTAGCGTAAGTCATAGGGGCCCTGTTGCTTCTTTCCGCCAAGGAAGTCTTTGTTCTCCTGGCCTGCCCTTTATCTCCTCTGTGCCTGCCCCATGGAAACAGGTCTTACTGGGAGAAGGTGCTTTGTGCTTCCTCAGTGTTTGTTCTTAGCCCTGCATGTGATGGGCTTGCAACAAATATTTGACAAATGAGTGACTGAATAAATTAATGTATGAATTTTGAAGTAGGAGGAAAATGTTCAAATCTCTATTTTGGGAAAGAATATCTTGACAGCTGTGTGGGACAAAGATTGGAAGGCAGAGAAAAAGGACTAGACTCTAACATCTAGAGTTCAAGTTGGGAGAGAAATGACAAAAACAGGAGCTAGATCACAAGAGTTCTTAAACTTTTTCCACTCAACCAACACCCTTTTGACCAAGAAGTGCATCAAAGACAAGCATTGATAGAAACATATAGGATTCCTTTGTTGTAATTTGAATTATTATTATTATTATTATTAATTATTTTGGTCTGGGGGCTACATGTTCTGGTGCCCAGGGACTATTTCCAACTCTATACTTGGGAGTCACTCCTAGAAGTGCTCAGGAGACCATGTGGTACTGAGGATTAAACCAACGCCTCTTGCATGCAAAGTTTGTATACTGCAGCCCTTTGAGCTATCTCTCTGACCCATTGAATTAATTTTTGGTCATTGCACATTTAGAAAACTTTCACTGTTGTGAAAATTTCACAGCCCCTACAGTTAGTTACATGACCTCATGTTTGGTCTCAGCCCACAGATTAAGAGCTAGGAGCTGGGGGATGAAAACAGCAAAGTGTTTGACAGGAAGAATCATTAGTGGAGGAAAGAAGACAAGAGAAGGAGTAGATTTTTTTGAAGAACAAATGAATATATATATATATTTTTTTTTTCTTTTTTGGATCACGCCCGGCAATACACAGGGGTTACTCCTGGCTCTGCACTCAGGAATTACTCCTGGCGGTGCGTGGGGGACCATATAGGATGCTGGGAATCGAACCCGGGTCGGCCTTGTGCAAGGCAAACGCCCTACGTACTGTGCTGTTGCTCTAGTCCCATGAATATTTGCCTTAAAGTTGTCAGGAGATAGCTGGAGATTTAAATAGAAATGTTGATTGAACACTTGATTCAGAAGTGTCTGTGTTGGAGATACAGATTCTAAAATCTTCTCTCAGTGGTTGGGTATGTATGAGCATACTAGCCTGGGGAGGACAAGGTAAGGGCGAAGCAAAGGGGCAGATGACCTCCTTGCCTACTGGTGCCGTGTTAGCAGCTACATTCCCTCCTTAGCCTAACACACCACACCTCACTTTCCCTTTGCTCCTTTTGTTACGTCTCCAGCAGCATCAGCAAACCTGGAACCAGGCGTCAGCATCTGTGGTTCACTTTGGCCCCTCTACTTATACAGCCTGTCTAGACACATCTACCTGGCGCATCCTCCTTGATCCTCCTGAACCACACCTACACATACACCTGTTGTCTAAAGACTCATCGTTTCCCCGTAACCTCAACTCATCGATGAAAGTTTTACTAGAGTGGCATTTTCTTTTTTAATGTGGAATGGTCCTGTAAACTTAATTTCAGGTGTAAAAAAGTGCTTTGACATTGGTGTACAGAGTGGAATGACTCCCACCAGAGGTCTAGATAACATCAGTCTCCGCTGCTAATAGGGACAGTGGTACTGCGCTGGGTGAGGCATGCAGTAACTTTGTACATCAATACCATAACCTTTAACAATAATGTAAGTATGTGATCTAAACTGTAATAAAAAAAACAAAGATAGTGTCACTGCATGTAGTTGTGAGTACTACTCTCTTAGCAACTTTCAAATGTGTGCAGAATTATTTATTGTGAACTATTGCCCACATGTCTTATTTATTTTGTAGCTGAACCCTGCATCCATTTTGCCTACCTTATCTCCCCCCACCATCTCTATCAACCAATCTATTTTATGTACCTGTGTTTTTTTTTCTTTTTGGGTCACACCCAGCGATGCACAGAGGTTACTCTTGGCTCTGCCGTCAGGAATCACCCCTGGCGGTGCTCAGGGAACCATATGGGATGCTGGGAATCGAACCCGGGTGGGCCATGTGCAAGGCAAACGCCCTACCCGCTGTGCTATTGCTCCAGCCCCAATGTACCTGCGTTTTTGATATATTTCTTTTGCCCATCTTGATAGTTTTCAGGACGTATTCATTGCTCTATGTTTGGGGATCACTCCTGGCAGCACTGGAACTCGATATGTGGTGCCAGAAATTGAATGCAAGTCAGCCATATATAAGGCAAATGTCCTACCTTCTGTACTATCATGCTGGCCCTGATTGTATTTGTTTTTATTTTCACTCTTTTTCAAAGATTCCACATATAAATGAATTTTAATGAAATTTATCTTTCTCTGAATTATTTCACTTACCCATGTTGAGATTCATCTGTGTCATTGCAAATGGCAAAATTTCATTTTTTTTGTCAGTAGATAGTATTTCACTGCATGTGTGTAAACATACATACATGGGTATGTACACACATCTGACACACATACTCTCACTGCACTGATGGATGCATCCATTGGTCAAATGGACACTCAGGCTGCTAACATAACTTAACTTTTGTAAATTATGTTGCTGTGAACTAGAAAAGACTAGCTTTCCCAGTAAGTCTTTTCATTTCCTTTAGGCAAGTACTCAGATTTGTAATTACTAGGTTATATGGTAGTTCCATTTTTAATTTTTTGAGAAACTTCCATATTGATTTCCAGAGTGGTTGTACCAATCTTTTTTTTTATGTAGGAGTACTGCTATTTATTTATTAGCTGATTGAATTGGGCATGAACTCCACCTTACTTCTCTTTTTTTCCATTTTTTATAATTTTATTTATTGAATCACCGTGAGAGCAGTTACAAAACTTTCAGGTTTAAGTCTCGGTCATACAATGAAATACCCATACCTTCACCAGTGCCCATTCTCCACCCCCCAAAACTCCAATATACCCCTATCCCAAACCCTCCCCCTAACGTAGGGCAGATGATTTCCACATTACTCTCTCTCTCTCTGCTTTACATTACATTCAATATTTTGACACCAGACCCACCATTATTATTTGAGATTTTACCCCCAACATTCAGATCAGTTGAAAAGGCAACAATAGACAATTTGTTTTCTATTGCTGGTTATGAATAATATATGATGTCGTGTGGCTGCAGTAGTGGCCATGCAATTTTTAAAATTCTGAGATTTTAACACTTAAATCTGGAGGGATTTCTACTAAAACTGCTGGGTTCTGAGATTTGTTCCTGAGTCTCTTGGATTATGGCTGTTAAGCAGCTTGATCAGGAGCCAGAAAGGCTGTTAATGGGTGGCGATTCGGGTTTTTGTTGGGATGGGGAGGAAAGGGCAGGCACCACCCCTATCCTGTGAGGCCCTGCATGTCTCGTCACCGCGGGCCCAAACCTGACTGTCCAATGGCCTCTGGTGGATGGTGGCCACGGAGTCGCCTAGGGGGAGCACGCAGAGGGACAGCACTCTTTCCCCCCTGGGGTGGCCCAGCGACAGTAACCTACAGCACGGTCTGGACACATTTCTGCCAAAAGCCGCTGGGTTTTGAGATTTGTTTCTGAGTCTCTGGGATCCTGGCCATTGAGCAGTTCAATCAGGAACCAGAGAGGCCATGCCTCCAATTATATAGCTGAGCCGGACGTGGTTTGTGGGTGTGTCTCCCACATACCTAACTTTTGGCCATTTACTTTATTGATAAACCCCATGTTTTGGGGGTCTGGCCAAAGGCACAGCAGCAATTTTGGGGTATCTGGAAGTCTGAAGACACCATCAGGCTGCTGATGCACTCGCCTCACAGGTACAGATTGACCTGCTGACAGCACCATACCCCCTTGTACCAATCAATTTTCCCACCAGCAGTGCACAAAGGTCTCCTCATCTTTGCCAACATGTTCTCCCATTCTAGCCAACACTTGTTATTTTTTTTTAATCTTTTAGATCAGCATTCTTCAACCTTTTTACACCTGCAGACTGGTATCTGTCTTGATTACTGATCCATGGACTAGCAGTTACTACCCAGTGATTTCAAATCTTCCTACATTTGTCAATTGGCAGCCATGGGCTGATGGTTGAAGAATGCTGTTTTAGATAACACCATTCTAACAGGTGTTGAGGTGACAGTTCACTGTGCTTTTGGTTGTAATTTCCCTTGTGATTAGTGATTTTGAACATCTTTTCATCTTTGTAAAAATATTCAGGCTCTCTGTGAATTTATTTTGAGGCTTTGAGGTCATACCTAGAGATGCTTAGGACTTAGTCCTGGCTCTGTGCTCAGGCGTCACTTCTAGTGGTGCTTGGGGAAGCATCTATGGTCCTGGGGATCGAGCCAGGCTTGGCTTCATGCAAGACAAGTGCCTTAAACCTTGTACTCTCTCTGTAGCCCTATGCCCATTTAAACTGGATATTTTTTAGTTATACTCATTATATATTGGATATATTGGATATTAATCCTTTGTTAGATATATGATTTTCAAGTATCTTCTCCCATTCAATGGGTTGTCTTTCACTTTGTTTGATGACTTCCTTTAATGTACAGAATCTTCTTAGTTTAATATAATCCTACTTATTTTCATTTTGTTTCTCAAAGTTGTCTTTTAAAAAACACATGACCATGATACCAGCCCAAAGAAAATGTTTAGATTTTGATGTGTTGTTTCCTCTCTAGTACAACACTGTTGCGTTAGAGACTGTGTACTTCTTTATGTTTTGTTATTTGTTTGAAGGATACAGGAGATTCGCCTGGAAATTTTAAAAGAGCTACTGAAGAAGCGTGATGAGAATCAAAACGAAGTGAATACGAAGCTCTTGAATGCTCGGTGGGCTAAACTACAGGAGGCAAAGGAGGCAAAAATTGCAAAGATTCAACAGAGACACATAACAGGTAACGTGGTGTCACGTGCACAGTGAAGAGAAAGGAATATTGATTTTGCTTTGGATCTTTGATCAAGCCTCATTGAGTCATGAAATAATTCTTCTTCTAGTTCTAATGTAATCAAATAGGTAGAGATGGGAGATGAGTCCCTTTTCAGTGATAGAAAAGTAGAGGGAAGTTCCTCCTGAAGAAAAGCAAGTGATATTCTAAGAACCAACCTATGGTATTATAGAGCGAGAGGAGAGAGTACCTGCCTATGACTGGTTTCTATTCATATGCATCTCTCTCTCTTTCTCTCTCTCTGACTCTGTATCTCTGTCTCTGTATCTGTCTCTGTCTCTCTCTCTCTCTTTCTCTCTGTATCTCTGTGTGTGTATATGAGTGCTGGTTTCCCTACATATCTTTTTCAACATTGTTTATATGAATGCTTCCTAAAATAGACATTTAGACATAAGTATTCTACAGACCCCCTTCCATGAAATGTTAATATTACAGATATATTTTGTATTTCATTTATTTCCTGGGCCTTTGAGCACTGATGGGTATAAGCCCTATAAAATAATTTTTTTAGTGAACTTAACTTTTTCTTTTGGTGGTGATGGGGCAAGGGGGGTCTAAGATTTGGTTACACCTGGTGGTGTGCATGGTTTACTCCTGGCTCTGTGAACAGGGATAATTCCTGGAGGTGCTCAGGGGACCGTGTATAGTGTCAGAGATCAGTCCTGGGTCAGTTATGTTCAAGGCAAGTACCTTACCCCCGTTCTATCTCTCTCGCCCTTTATTTTCTCTTGATGTAGGAAAATAACTTTTCAATGAGGTTTACATTTACATACTGTCAAGTTTGTTGTTGTTGTCATTGTTGTTGTTATTGTTGATGTATAGCCAGGACTCACTAGCTTTTGTAGATAGAGGATAAATTTTAGACTTTCTAAATTTAGTTACAAAATCACTCATCACACACAGTGTACTCAGGATCAAACAAAAATAACATCCACACGGCACCTCAGGCAATCTGACTTCAAAACCTTGCAGTACGGTTTTATTCCCACTGAAAGTGCATGAACTGGCTCATGACAGGATGGAAGGAAAAGGAGAAAATAAGAGGTATGAGTATAATTCCTTGGATGAGGGGCTGGAGTGATAGCACAGCAGGTAGTGCATTTGCCTTGCACGTGGCCGACCGGGTTCAATTCCCAGCATCCCATATGGTGCCCTGAGCACTGCCAGGACTAATTCATGAGTGCAGGGCCAGGAGTAACCCCTGTGCATTGCTGGGTGTGACCCAAAAAGCAAAAAATAAAAATAAAAAAATTCCTTGGATGAGTACCCCAATTCTATTCACAGCTGATCCTTTTCCTATGCTTAAAAGCAATTGTGAGGGGCTGGAGAGCTATCACAGAAGTTAAGGTGCCTGTCTCCTAGGCGATCAACCATAATTCCATCCCCAGTACCACAGGGTCACTCAAGCACTGCCAGCTGCAGTCCTGGAGGGCCCTCAAGCATCACCAGCGATCCCTGGCCCCATGGGGCTGAGTGGCATCACATCCTCAGACCCGTGCACAAAACCCTACCCTGTTGGCCAGGAATTACTTGGAGGGTACCCTGGACCTCCTGAACACCTCCTGGGAAACTCCTTCTGAGTTCCCTGCAAAAGGCAAGTCTGAAAGCTATAAATATAAGACAGACTTAATTTTTTTCTGGCTAAAGTTAAAATTAAAGAGCATGCAGTTGTCCCTCCTTTTAAATTATTTCCTTAGGAGAGAATGATTCCCCTGATTTCCACTGGACATGTGTTTTTCTGTCATTTTGAGTTTTATTTACTTAGGAAACTTTAATAAAATACCCTTTCTTGGCCAAAGCTTTGAATGCAATGACAGAGAGTTTTGATGAATGCCAGTGAGGGACAGCTGCTGATTCCTATTCTGTCACTCCCACCTGCCAGTTTCCTGACAGTCTCAGCCACACACACGAGCAGACTTGGGCTTTAGTGTTACACTCTGGCTGCAGGGGCTGGACATCATAAAATAGCACTGTCAGTAGCTTCCCTTTGAAGGAAACGGAAACTTGTTTATTTACTTTTTTTTAACCATTTGTATCACACCCAACGATGCTTAAGGTTTACTCCTAGTTTTGCACTCAGGAATTACTCCTGGCGGCGCTCTTATGGGATGCCAGATGGCCAGGATCAAGTTTGGGTTGCCCGTGTGCAAGGCAAATGCCCTACCCTCTGTACTATTGCTCTGGCCCTGAAACTGGTTTACTATTCTGTCTTTGGTTCAGTCAAAACAGTGTACTTGAGAGATAGTCATGGAGATATGTTTTGTTTCAGCAATGAGAAAACTTGCAACAAAAAGAAAGGATATAGAAGGGAAATTTCATAAAAGAGACATCATCCAGGAGTATTCTGATTATGCATCACAGGTCTATGGACCTTTGTCTCGGCTTGGCCGTTTTCCAGACAACAACTCAGAGAACTTTGTAGTAAAAAACCATTTTCTCAACACCTATGAAGGTAAGCAATTGATGTAATTACAAGTACAATATAAGAAGGTTATCCTAGAAATAAAATACATAAAATATAGAACTATATATTGAAAAATACATATTTTTGCAATAAATAACACTGAACACATTTAACAATACGTTAAGATAACTTTGGAGAGGGCTGGAGTGATAGCACAGGGGGTAGGGCGTTTGCCTTGCATGCGGCCAACCCAGGTTGCATTCCTCCATCCCTCTTGGAGAGCTCGGCAAGCTATCGAGATTATCCCGCCCACACAGCAGAGCCTGGCAAGCTCCTCATGGCGTATTTGATAAGCCAAAAACAGTTACAAGTCTCACAATCTCCATTGTTACTGGTACCTGCTCAAGCAAATTGATGAACAACGGGGGACAGTGCTACAGTGCTAAAGACACTGTAGCATAAATAAAACTGTTCATGAATTCAGTGTATAGCAGTTTATTGAGGAATCAAATCAGTTGTCAATGAAGCACCTTAAAGTATTTAATGATACTACTAATAAAAATTGTGACCAGAGTGATAGTACATTGGAATAAGGTGGTCGATTGCCTTGCATGAACTTGAATTATGTACCACATATGATGCCCTGAGAACCTTCAGGAGTGAGTGATCCCTGAGTGCAGAACCAGGAGTAAGTCCTGAGCACTGCCAGCTGTGGCCCCAAAACAACAATGACAAAAAAAATAAAAATAAACAATAAAAACTGGATAGAAAAAGCTCTACTATACCTTGTTATGAAGAAAAAAGGAACTATGTAATAAAATCACTCTTGAAGAAGCAATGGCAGAAAATGAATGTTCAGGGGACTGGGGAGTGAGAGGAAAAGCTTGGGACTGGACTGTGCCGGCTCTGAAGGACAAGAAAGACTGGGTGAGAATATTTCAGCTTGGTATTAGGGGTATAGCATAGTGGTAAAGTGCATGCTTTGCGTGTGAGGGTCAATTCTCAGCATAACCCCCACACCCACATTTCATTTAGCAACTTAAGGCTTCACATGATCAAGATCATAAGTTGAAAGTCTTAGGGCTGAAGTTGGAGCTCTGGCTGGCTACCTTCAGAGCAAACTATGATAAATTGGTCCACGTTTGCTTTAGAATTGATGATATCATGGAGAATATAATCATTATTTTTCTGTTGATAGCTATTATAGAATTTACTACTTTTTTCAAGGGTATTTCTATTTTATTATCAATTCATTCATTTGTGTTTGCACTGCTGGAGGTGAAACCCAGGGCCTTCCATATATGCAAGGCAGCTGCCACAGATCTTTGCTCACAGCCCAGTGCTTTTATCTTAGATTGCATTTCTCGTGTTGTCTGAGCCACTGAGACGATGATGTCATTAGCTAGAAATGGGCTTTTCATTTCAGGGACAATTCAGTTCTTTAAGATACACCTTATCAAACAATTTTAAGTGAATCTCTTGGTGAACAGTTACTAAAATGAACAGTATCACTCAAAAGGCCAAATTTAAGCATTTGGTACTAAACACCTGTTCTTCCTTTTCCATAGGATTAGTTGAGCTTGAGGAATGTATCCCTGATTTTGTGACACAGCCCCGCATCACAGCTCCAAAGCCCAAAGTCACCACCACCAAAGCTGGTTTTCTGAACAGGTCAGCAAGACTGGAACGTGAGTTGGAAGAGGTTCATAAGGTATCTCTCTTTTTGTCATTTGGCTTTCTCGTTCTGGGTCACACCCAGCAGAACTGGGCTGAAGGGACCATGTAGTGCCTGTGATTGAGTCTGGGACTCAGACATGCAAAGCATCTGCTTCAGTCCTTCAGGCCATTTCCCCAGCCCTCAAAAGATAGGATCTTAATCCAGACAACAAGATGCTGTAGTGAAACATTTGCAAAGAATAATTGTTGCACTTTATCTTGAACTTGGTTTTCAATACACATATTTATCCTCAGCCTCCTCTTTTAGACATTTCTCTACTGTAGGTTGCCTGTCTTCTGTTGAACCAGTGTAGTTTACCTCACTCATTTCAAACTGTACAATCTCTTGGAGATTTTCGAAAGTCAAATTACTATCTGAAAGTGCTTGACTGTGGATCTATATATTAAATTTGATGCTATATTGAGGTGGAGCAAGTTCCAGATTTAGGAACTTGTTGTAGTTTAAGTAGTATGGTTTTAGTAGTGTGATGGGCTGCATTCTCCCTAGAGAATTTCACACAAAAAGGGGAGACTTGTTTAGCCATTCTCTCATCTAATTTAAAATAACTGAGGAGAGGAGGTTTGATGGTTATCCCCATGAGCCAGTCCTACATAATCCACCAACCTGGCTATCCCTTGCAGTCATTGGAACAGAATACAGAACGCAATTAAATGCTTCAGAATTCTTAGTCTGTGAGAGTGGGGCTCCATCTGTAGGGCACACCGGAAGTGCTTGCAGAACTTGTTGAAACATGTCTCTTCGCCCTAGCCACAAACTTTCTGATTCAGTAGGTCTGGAGTGTTTGCATTTTAAAATTGAGTTTCCAGATGCTGCTGATGTGGCAGAAACCATAATTTCAGACTTACTGGTTTATGACATACTCACATCACTGGCCCGTGCATGTGTGCCTGTTAGTTGGTCTGAGTAGTGGAATAAGAAGCCATGGAAGTCCATAGTCGGTATGAAAAATTAGGGCTTTGAGTGACCCAGGAGATAGTTCAAGTGACAGACCACACCCCTGGCATTACGAGCCTCTCTCCTCAGAACCATAGCTGTACCCCTGGCGGTCCCCGAGCCTCTCTAGGTTGATTATGGTGACCTCAAACACCCCCAGATGTAGCCTTTTCATGAAAATGAGGGCACTGAGAATCATCCAGACATCTGCGTCTTGACCCTTTAATTCTCTGGAGCACTGTTAAGCTATCTCTTGTTTTGTTTAATTTCTTTTTGTCTTTACTATGGCGTGGAAATTCCTTTAAATTCTTATATACTTCTCTTTTTTCTAATATTCTTATAATACTGTGCCTTTAAATCATATGTTTATGTTGAATCTTATCAAATATTTTGCCTGAATCAATTGAGGCAGTAATACATGGATTCTTTGTAAAATTATTGCTATGAGGAACATTCATCATTTGTTGGTTCCCAGTCCCAGAGATCGCTCCAAGGTCTCATCCATGCAGATTCTGTACTTGACAATCACTTATTTCCCACCATTTATCGTTCTTACCTGGATAAACATAACATGATCAAGGTGTATTTATTATTTTTAATTCATTGTTAGATTTTATTTTATTTTGTTTTTGTTGACTTTTGATCCGTTCCTAGTGGTGATTGTGCTCAGGACAAACCCTTTGCCTCCTGCATGTGAAGCCTCTACTCAGCCCTCTGCTCTCTCTCCCTCTTCCTATATACATATTGTTAGATTTGATTTACTAATATGCTCTTCAGAATTTTTATTTTTTTTTTATTTTTTTATTTTTTTTTTTATTTTTTTATTTTTTTATTTTTTTTTTTAATTTATTTATTGAATCACTGTGGGAAAGGTTACAAAGCTTTCAGGTTTATGTCTCAGTCATGCAAATATCAAACACATTTCCCTTTACCAATACTTATTTTTTACCATGAAGAACCCCAATAAAACCCCACCCCCCACCCCTCCCCGTCCCTGTGAAGCAGATGAATTCTAGTTAACACTCTATCTGCTTTGATTAGATTCATTGTTTCAATAAAAGATTCACCACTATTATTTAGAGTTTACCCCCCCCCAAATCAGACATGCTGAAAAAGCATTGTGAAGTGATTTGCTTTCTACGGCTGGGTTCAAGAATTAAATGTTGGTTTTGGATTTCTGCTCTTTTACCTATTGACCTGGAAGTATTTCTACTGAAAGTCAGATAGTTAAGAAATTGGTTTCTGTTCTGGAGTCCTGGCCGTGCTGGAGAGCCGCTCGCGGGGGGCAACTGGTGACCTCGGTAGGGCGTGAAGGACGGACCAGAACGCCCCCCTTCCCATGAGGTTTTAGTCGCCCCCACACTCCCGGCTCATACCTGCTGTCCACAAGGCTCCCATGTGGCCGCCATCTTTCTTTCCAAAGAGGAGAGGGCGAATGGGGCAACACCCTTTCCCCTCCGGCAGACTTGATGGCCTGGATCAATGCAGAGTCCGTTCACTTTTCTGCTCCAAGCTGCTGGGTTCTGCATTAAGTCCTTGTGCTTCTGGGGCCGTGGCCGTGCTGGAGAGCCGCTCGCGGGGGGCAACTGGTGACCTCGGTAGGGCGTGAAGGACGGACCAGAACGCCCCCCTTCCCATGAGGTTTTAGTCGCCCCCACACCCCCGGCTCATACCTGCTGTCCACAAGGCTCCCATGTGGCCGCCATCTTTCTTTCCAGAGGGAGGAGGGCGGAAGGGAGCAACACCCTTTCCCCTCTGGGCAGAAATGATTGCCTGGATCAACGCATAGTCCTTTCACTTTTCTGCTCCAAGCTGCTGGGTTCTGCATTAGGTCATTGTGCTTCTGGGGCTGTGGCCGTGCTGGAGAGCCGCTCGTGGGGGCAACTGGTGGCCTCGGTAGGGCGTGAAGGGCGGACCGAAACGCCCCCCTTCCCATGAGGTTTTAGTCGCCCCCACACTCCCGGCTCATACCTGCTGTCCACAAGGCTCCCATGTGGCCGCCATCTTTCTTTCCAGAGAGGAGAGGGCGAATGGGGCAACACCCTTTCCCCTCCGGCAGACTTGATGGCCTGGATCAATGCAGAGTCCGTTCACTTTTCTGCTCCAAGCTGCTGGGTTCTGCATTAAGTCCTTGTGCTTCTGGGGCCGTGGCTGTGCTGGAGAGCCGCTCGTGGGGGGCAACTGGTGACCTCGGTAGGGCGTGAAGGACGGACCAGAACGCCCCTCTTCCCATGAGGTTTTAGTCGCCCCCACACCCCCGGCTCATACCTGCTGTCCACAAGGCTCCCATGTGGCCGCCATCTTTCTTTCCAGAGGGAGGAGGGCGGAAGGGAGCAACACCCTTTCCCCTCTGGGCAGAAATGATTGCCTGGATTAACGCATAGTCCTTTCACTTTTCTGCTCCAAGCTGCTGGGTTCTGCATTAAGCCCTTGTGCTTCTGGGGCTGTGGCCGTGCTGGAGAGCCGCTCGTGGGGGGCAACTGGTGACCTCGGTAGGGCGTGAAGGACGGACCGGAACGCCCCTCTTCCCATGAGGTTTTAGTCGCCCCCACACCCCCGGCTCATACCTGCTGTCCACAAGGCTCCCATGCGGCTGCCATCCTTCTTTCCAGAGAAGAGAGGGCGAATGGGGCAACACCCTTTTCCCCTCTGGGCAGAAATGATGGCCTGGGTTAACGCATCGTCCGTTCACTTTTCTGCTCTAAGCTGCTGGTTTCTGCATTAAGTCCTTGTGTTTCTGGGGCTGTGGCCATGCTCCAAACTTAACTCTGATTTTCAGGGAGAAAGATTGGGTGGTTTACTTCTCATTGATCACTTTGTATATAGAGAGATGTCGCGCGGCCGCATAAGCGGCCGCGCGGTTTTGAGAAAAAGTCCTCGTTCCCGCATACTCGAGCTGTGTTTGTAGAGGCTTCTGGTCACCAGGGTTCCATCTGGGGGAGGCGGGATGCGGCGCCTACTCCATCTGGAACTTCCCGGTGCTCTCGGCTCTTTTTGGAACCTGTTTTTTCTTTTTTCTTTTCCTCCGGGATCCCGCACCCTCCATGTGTTCCTTCTCTTATTCTGAACGTTTCAAAGATGGCGCTGGGGGGCGGGCTGTGGGCATGACTTCCGGGATCAGAGGTTACCTGGGAGGTGTAGTCCGGCAGATTTGAGAAAAAGTCCTCGTTCCCGCATACTCGAGCTGTGTTTGTAGAGGCTTCTGGTCACCAGGGTTCCATCTGGGGGAGGCGGGATGCGGCGCCTACTCCATCTGGAACTTCCCGGTGCTCTCGGCTCTTTTTGGAACCTGTTTTTTCTTTTTTCTTTTCCTCCGGGATCCCGCACCCTCCATGTGTTCCTTCTCTTATTCGAATTTTTATTTTATAGTCGTAAGTGAAATGCATTTTTCTTACTTGACTATATAAAATATTGGTGTCCGTTATACTCTCTCAAATTTACCTTTCAAGGTAATAGTGAGGTTGAGATGAAAGAAATCATTATTTTTTCATTATTGATTATATTATGCCTTTATTTTCAGCTGGACTCTTTGACCATTTTAATTTTAATTTATAAAATATTTTTTCTTCAGAATTGGAGTTGTCTTCCTTTACTCTTGTATTTCCCAAGTAAGAATTGTATCACATCATTTAACATTCATGAGTTACGGTATTAGCAGAAATATTTCCCATCTGTTCCTGTCTTTCAGTTATGTAGATATTTTTGGAAGCAACAGGTGTTTCCAGTTTCATTTCTGTCCTTAATATATATTTTATATAAGCAAATGTATGTATGCTGTATCTGAAATATATGTGTGTATATTTATATGTCTAAACAAATATGTATAATACATATATGTATCTTTAAAAACTGTTTGGTATTGGGGATTGGACCTGGGGCCTCACATGTGCAAGTATTTACTGCACTTGCTGAGGATTTTTTTTTTTTTTTTTGCTGAGGATTTTTAACATGTAATATCCTTCCATGTCCGTGTTATCAGAAAAGCTTTTTTTTTTAAATTTTCTAATGCAATGTAGCATTATATAAATGGAACCATAAAATATTTTGATGAATATTTGTATTGTTTCCACTGTATTTATTTGTTTATTTTTGGTTTTTGGGTCACACCCAGCAATGCTCAAGGGTTATTCCTGGCTCACTCAGGAACTTCACCTGGTGGTGTTCAGGGGACCATATGGGACGCAGGGCATCTAACCTGGGTCAGCTGTGTGCAAGGCAGATGCCCAACCTGCTGTCCTATTACTCTGGCTCCCAAGTTTGAAATTCTAATATTAAGACAAGGCTGCAAGGAATTACTCTGCCTGAAATTTGGCACATGCATATCTAGAAAAAAAATTTCAGACATGGAATTGCTGATCCACAATATTTGTATAATATATCATTTTGATGGTCATTGCAAGATTTTCTTAGAAAATTTAGTTTTAAGCCATCTATATAATTGGTGTACTAATATCAACCATGAGAGTGTCTGTTTCCCCACATCTCTACCAACATAATCTGCAAGAATCACTGTTTCAAAGTCGTTTAAGTGGGGTGAAGAGTGCACACTTTAGCTGCGAGGACCGAGATGGATCCCCTGCACCACATGGGACACTGAGTACCGGTGGGTATAGTTCTGGTGACCCCCAGCACTTCTGGGTCATAGAACACCAAGAATGGCCTCAATCCCAGTGCCCTGTGCAGCAGGCCTTCCATCCACCCCAGGAAAAAACAGTAGTTCAAGGCATTTCATTCAAACAATGCCTGAGTTTAGAATTGTTTAGAAGGTTTAGGCTGAGCCTGCTTTCTGTTGCTTTACTAATTGCAGTCATAGAAATGAATTACATATTTCATTCAGAGGCTGTACAAAAACTGTAATAATTTCATGTCATTCCAAATTTGACTTGTATTTTATTAATGTCAAGTTTTATCGCTTTTTAATTTTTTTGTGGTAAAAGTAGTACAAAATGTATTATGTAATAAAAAATAACTAACGCACGATTTTTAAATCACAAAAGGCAGAGGGTTTTTTTAAATTACTTTTAATTTAAAAGTATCAGGTGTTGGGAGGATCCTCCCAGGATGGGAGAAGCATGCTGAAAGTAGACTATAGACCAAACATGATTGCCACTCAATGTTTCTTTTGCAAACCACAACACCCAAAAAGAGAGAGAGAACAGAGGGGAATGCCCTGCCACAGAGGCAGGGTGGGATGGGGGGGAGGGGGGTGGGAGGGATACTGGGATCTGTGGTGGTGGGAAATGGGCACCGGTGGAGGGATGGGTATTTGATCATTGTATAATTGAAACCCAAGCACAAAAATGTGTAAGTCTGCAACTGTACCTCATGATGTCTCACTATTAAAAAAATAATAAAAAAATAAAAGTATCAGACATATATAAGGCATGTGTTGTACCAGTGAGCCATATCCTTGGCTAATGACAGAAGCTTTTAATAACTAACAAATAATTTTAAGGACTGGAGAGATAGTACAGTGGGTAGGATAGGTTTGATCCCCAGCACCACATTTGGTGCCCCAAATGCTACCAGGAGGAATGATCCCTGAGCACAGGCCCAGGAGTATACCCTGAGCACTAAAGAGTGTGTCCCCAAAACAAAACAAAAATAACAACTTTTAATTCCCATTTTAGAAAAAGATGTTGATGAACTTTAAACAATTTTTAGAGTAAATAACAATTCCCCCCATATCAGCTTATCTTTTGAGGCTTCACATACAGTAGTCACTGTCCGTCACTGTCCTCCCGTTGTTCATTGATTTGCTCGAGCGGGCCCAGTAACGTCTCCATTGGAGACTTTGTTGTTACTGTGTTTGGCATATCGAATACATCACGGGTGGCTTGCCAGGCTCTGCCGTGCGGGCGAGATACTCTCGGTAGCTTGCCGGGCTCTCCGAGAGGGGTGGAGGAATTGAACTCGGGTTGGCCATGTTGGCTGCATGCAAGGCAAACGCCCTACAAAAAATGATTAATTTTTTGTTTGTTTGGTGGCATAGCCAGCTGTACTCAGGGCTTACTCCGGGCTCTGTGCTCAAGGATCATTCCTGGTGGCAAATGCCCAACCTGCTGTCCTATTACTCTGGCTCCCAAATTTTAAATTCTATTAAAACGCGGCTGCAAGGAATTTTTACTCTGCCTGTAATTTGGCACATGTATATCTAGAAAAAAATTTTCAGACATGGAATTGCTGATCCACAATATTTGTATAATTTATCATTTTGATGGTTATTGCCAGATTTTTTAATCTGGGGGGCCATCTGGGTGCTGGGGACTGAACCTGGGTAGCTGTGTACACGGCAAGCACCCTACCTGCTATACTCTCTCTCTCTGGCCCTGGTTGGTGGTTGATGTATCCTCAGGGAAATTAAAGCATCCCATCCAAGTGCCCCAGTTTGGACTTTCTCACAGTGTCCAGGAATAGAGAAGGTATTTCTGATTAATATTCTTGTCTATGTCTAGATCCTACAGTGTGAGGACAGACAAGGCTAAGAAATGATGTGAGCTGGTGTCATTTCAGGCACTGTTGGATAAGAAGTATGAGGTTCCCGAACCGAAGAAGCCTCTGCGCTTCCTTGAGAAAAAGCCGATCCCTCAGCCCCGGCTTCCAACTCCAACCTTGGTGATGTGTTCTAATGTAAGTTTGAAACTAATTTCCTTTGAAATAATCAAATAATTAAACCAGTGTTGCTGTCAGTTTATTCAGATAGTTTGGGTTAAAACACACACACACACACACACACACAAGAATTTAACAAGTGTTCATTTCCTAAGATCTGTTTCAGTTTTGGTTTTTGAGGCACTCCTGGCTCCAGCTGTGCCCAGGGCCACTTCTGCTAGGTTCAGGGGTCCATGTGAAGGTGTCAGGCATCGAACCTGGGCCAGCTGCATGCAAGGCAAGTGCCTGCTCACTGTATTATCTCTCCAGTCTCTCCCAAGACCTTTCTTATGTTTAGGTTTCAAATAACACCAAAGCGAACTACATAAAATGGAATATAAATCCAATATTTTCCAAGAATAGAAACACACACTTTTCTATTAAAAAATTAAATAAAAAAAAGTGGTGTTTCCAAATGCTATGCATGCTGTAGCTGGATGGAGCCCCAAGACTGAGGAAAATGGGAGTGACCCACTGAGCACTGCTGGATGTGACCCCACAACTGGAAAAAAGGAAAAGGAATGAAAATACAATGAATAAAATACTTATATAATAAAATGGGTACTAGAAGGCTGTCTGTGTATCAAATGAAAGAACTGTATTTTACCACAGAATTGTCACACCTTGTTTTGTTTTCAGTAATATGGCACAGTTTTTGCTTTAAGCTTCATACAATATCTGCACCCTACTTTCATTCAAAAAAAGAAAGAATGAATAAACAAAGATTGTCCACGAATCTGAGACGATTCTGCAGTGAAATACAGAGATTGATGAAGTCTTACTCTCCCATCTCCCATGAGGCAGGGCTGGGGTGAGGTGGTACAGGCAGTAGTAGAACTGCCGGCCTGGAGGGTTGAGGTGGTCCTCTTAGCTGGCCAGCCTGTGCTCCCCAATGCAGGGCGGACCTTCATGGAGTCTGCAGCAAATGAGTGCTTTGGCAGAGGGAGGAGGAGCTTCCGAGGGCCCTCTGATGAGTCACATCTGTGGAGGACTCGAGCATTCCCATCCCACAGCCATCTGTACTTCTGGACAGTAACTCCACATGTCCCTGCCATTGTTCTTTTTTTTTTTTTTTTAATGTAGGAGCTACCCGTGATGTATTCAATATGCCAAAACACAGGAAAACAAGTCTCACAATGGTGACATTACTGGGCCCGCTTGAGCAAATTGATCAACAACGGGAGGATAGTGAGAGTGACAGTGAATGTAGGAGTATTGCGATTTATTCAGCCATTGATTAGGTTGATTGAATTGGGCATGAACTCCACCTTTTTTTTTCTTTTTTATAAATTTTTTTTTTATTGAATCACCATGAGAGCAGTTATAAAGCTTTCCGGTTTAAGTCTCAGTCATACAATGTTGAAACACTTGTCCCTTCACCAGTGTCCATTCCCCACCCCCAAAACCCCAGTATACCCCCCCTCCCATACCCTCCCCCTACTTGTGGGCAGACGATTTCCACATTCCTTTCTCTCTACTTTGATTACATTCAATATTTTGACACCAGACCCGCCATTATCATTTGGGATTTTACCCCAACACTCAGACCTGCTGAAAAGGCAAAAGTAGATGAACAAATCATTTGCCATAGTGGCCACACGATTTTGGAATTCTGAAATTTTAACAATTAAATCCCAGAGAGGCCATTCGTCGGTGGTGACCCAGGGTCTCATGGGGGGGTGGGGGGGAAAGGGCCGGCTCCATCCCCATCCTGTGAGGCCTCACATGTCTCTCGTCACTGCGGGCCCAAACCTGACTGTCAAATAGCCTCTGGAGGATGGCAGCCACCAAGTCACCAGGGGGAACAGGCCAAGGCACAAAACCTATTCCCACTGGGGGTGGCCTGGTACTGGTAACCTATTGTGGGGACCTTACGTATTTCTGCCAAAAGCCGCTGGGTTCTGAGATTTGTTTATCAGTCTCTGGGATCATGGCCGTTAAGCAGTTTGATCAGGAACAAGAGAGGTCTTCCCTCCAATTATATAGCTGAGCCGGAGTTGGTTTGTGGGTGTGTCTCCCACATACCTAACTTTTGGCCATTTACTTTCTTGGTAAACTTGGCCCCAAGTTGTTGGAGTCTGGCCAAAGGCACAGCAGCAATTTTTGGGGTATCTGGAAGTCTAAAGGCACCATCAGGCTGATGCACTCGCCTCACAGGTACAGATTGACCTGCTGGCAGCACCATACTTCAAGTCCCTGCTGTTCTGACCCTGCCTGTGGTTTATTGGTCGTCATTCCTCTGTGCAGTGCCATTGGCTTGGCTGTTTCTTTCTTTTCCATTCAGAGGCAACTTAATTCCATTTGCAGACTCTGGCCTTTCTGTTTTCCTCAAGTTACTATTGAGGGTGATTTTTGTGGATGACTAATATTGTTTGTTATATGCTGATTTTTGCCAGTTTAGCTAAATTCTTCTGAGATGCTTGGTAACTCCCACTCTATACCCCATGTCAAACTAGTGATGTTTCCTCATGATTAAACATTTAAAAAGAATTGCAAAAGGGATGTCAGATGGAATTCTTGTTGCTTCCAAAAGGTTTTTCAGGCAAGGACTACAAAAATATAAAATGTGAGATTGACTGAATGGGGTCAGAGAGACAGTAACGCTGGTGTAAGGCCTGCCCTAAGCCCAGCTGAGCAGATGCAATCCTCAGTGCCTGTGGGGACTGAACTTCGCAGCTGTATGCTCTCCAGAGCACCACTGAGGGTGATCCGAGAGTGCACAGAACCTGAGCACCCCCAAATATGGCCCCCAAAAGAAAACAACTGAATGCGTAGGTATCCCTGTGTGGCTGCAGGTGAATTCTTGCCTTACTGATAAGAGTTAATGATTTTTTTTTGCTTTTTGGGTCACACCCAGTGATGCTCAGTGGTTACTCCTGGCTCTGAACTCAGGAATCACTCCTGACGGTGCTCGGGGGACCATGTGGAATACTGGGACTCGAACCTGGGTTGGCTGCATGCAAAGCAAATGCCCCACCTGCTGTGCTATTGCTCCAGCCCAAGATAATGATTTTTATCATGGAAAAAATCATAATAAGTGTTGACAATAAAGTGTGTTGCACTTAAAATATGCTATCTCCAAAGAGGTGGGCAATGTGGTTTCTTCCTCACTTCTCTGAAGACTATTCCTTGGTCTGCATTTCTTCCCCAAATATTGGAAGTCGACTGCGGCTGCACTCCAACCCCTTGCTTCTGCCTTTGTTCTTTCAGGAAGAAGAAGACATAGACATGGCTGTGATCTACCTGCAGAAGTTACTCCGAGGCAGAGCAGTTCAGAATATGGTGGGTAGGGCCAGTGCTTCTCGCTCAGGAGAGATTCCTGAAGGGTTTCTGGGCCAGCTCCCTTGGAGAAAATGGAATCCCTTGGAATTCCTTGGAGTGAATGGGAGTGAATTTCTTGCCGGATAGTTCCCTGAGCATAGCAAGCATCACTCTACACCAGGTGTGGTCCCTGAGCACAGAGCCTGAGTGTGGCACCAAAACCAACTTTTTATTTATTTATTTAAAAAAATTTTAATTGTCTATTGAATCACCATGAGATACAGTTATGAAGCTTTCATGATCGGGTTTCAATCATACAATGTTCCAACACCTGTCCCCCCACCAGTGTACATTTTCTCACACCAATGAATCCAATATTCCTCATGCTTCTTATGCTTCCCCCTCACCCCGCAGGCACTGGTCTTCTCTCTCTCTCTCTCTCTCTCTCTCTCTCTCTCTCTCTCTCTCTCTCTCCTTTTGGGCATTATGGTTTGTAATACAGATACTGAGAAGCCATGATATTTAGTCCTTTACCCATATTCAGCACACATCTCCCATCCAGAACAATCACTCCAACCATCATTGTCAGAGTGGACCCTTCTCTAGCCCAATGCCTCTCCCCCAGCCTTTGAGGCAGGCTTCCAACTGGACCAATCCTCCTGGCCCTTGTTGGTGGGAGTGCCTACAGGCCCAGCTGTTTTGGAAAACAGTATGGACAGTCCTCAAAAGACTAGCTTCCATATGATTCAGGAATACCACTTCTGGGAATACAACCCAGGAGTGCAAAAAAAAAAAACACCACACAGTAGAAATGACATTTGTATCTGTATGTTCAATGCAGCACAGTTCACCAGTTCACAATTCACAGTAGCTAGAATCTGGAAACAATCCAAGTGCCCAAAACCCAACTTTAAAAAAAAAACATCATTTTGAACCTCAACTATACACCCACATAATATATTCTGTGCTCTATGTATACATCTCTTTCTTTCCCTATCAAAACCCCCATTTTATGGGCAAGTCACCTGAGTGTAAGAGGGATTGCATTTACTGCCAGCTGACTCAAACCTGTCACCCTGGCTGTCAAGCCCCCATGTGATTAATCCTACTCGTATAGTATGAACACGTCTATCAACCCCCAGCTACACTTCCCCCCTCTCTATGCAGTCATTTTCTTTTATTTCACTGGTTTTGGGGCCCCAGATCAGGATTTACTCCTGGCTCTGTGTTCAGAGATCATTCCTGTTGGTGCTGGGGGATCATATGCGTTACTAAGGTTCAGGTCAGGGTCAGCCACCTGCAAGTCTTAGCCCCCTGTGCAGTATCTCTGACTCTGGCAATTATGACGATTAAAAGACTTAGGTAAGAGGAATCATCCCAGGACAGCACCCAGTGTTCAGCATTATTCTAAATTCTTTACTTTCCCAGAGCGAGGTGTGGCCGGCTGGCAACAGATTCTGTATTATGGTCTGGGGATAGATCAAGTGGAAAAGAAAAGTCCGTATTTCTTAAGGAAGGAACACAAGATTGGGGAGAAGGTTCTAGCTGACTAATATGAACCCAAAGTGGCCAGTCTGATTCTTTGAGGGAGGTCTCTTAAGGAATCAAGCCATAGGGCTGAATAGATAGTACAATGGGTAAGGCCTAGCTTTGCTTAACTAGGTTCAATCCCCAACACCCTGTATGGTCAACTGAGCATCTCCAGGACTGATCTCTGAGTGCAGAGCCCAGAGTAAGCCCTGAATACCAAAACCAACCAAAAAACAAACAAACAAACAAACAAATTAAGCCAAGGATAACTAAGCCTCTGCTCTTCACCACCCGCATCTACTTTCTAGACACCCTGCTAGCTGTCACAGGGCCTCCTAGCTCACTACAGGGGTGTTACGGTGCTCACCTGCAAGTGTCTCTTTACTTGGTTTTGATACAGATGTTTGAAGGGAAGGAGAAGCGTCTGGAGTTGATCCAGGAACTGCGCACCAGTCATGCACTGCAGGAAGATGAAAGGATGGTGAAGAAAGCTGAGAAGCAAGTGACCTTGGCCTTACAGCGACAAAGGAACCTGCATGAGAATAAGGTTCTCGTCCCCACTCTCTTTGCTCTCTCTTGTTTCCTTTTCTTCTTTGATTTTTATTGCTGCATCAACAGCATGATAATCAATAAATAGAATAACATTAAGAAATAACACTCCCCTACACACACACACACACACACACAATCTTATTGCTCTTATTATCGTCTACATCATTGTTTTTAATTTCATTTGGGGGCTTCTCAAGCAGTGCTCAGGGACCTCTTGGGGCCACCCCTGCAGTTTTGGGCCAGCTGTACTGGAGTTCCATGGCAGAGTCCCAGGATGCAGTGTCTGTGATGCTGAGAGTACCAGGGCCACCTGGACAGTACTCCAGGGTCTCCAGGCCGCCACCTGACTGTGCTTAGGAGGCCTTGGGTTACTGGGGATGGTGCCTGGAAGGGGACTTCCCCTGCATTCTCTCCAGAGCCCCACTGCCTGCATTTTGAAACATGACCGTCCGTAGTCTGTAATGTGAGTTATGAGCCTTACGATCCTTCAGGAGTTGAGCTTGAGGGAAGGAGCTCAACATGTAAGACTTTTCTCTTCACTTTTCCTATCTGTTTGGTGACTTGTATTTCAGTTAGTGGGAGCCTAACCGAACAAATGGTCCCCAAAACAGGAAACACTTGCAAGTTTTGGAGCTGTACATAGCTCATACTGGTGAAAAGACAGATAAAATGCGCTACTACTCACCAGGAGCTCTCGGCCCTGTCCCCTGAGAGCTGGTATTTGTAGCTCTTGACCAAATGTTTCTCCCATCCTTTTCAGTTGTCTAGACAACACATTCTAAATGTGTTTTTTGACTGTAGAGTAGATAAGCGTTCACTGACTCTCCCACTCAGATCTTGGAGAGCCCGGCAAGCTACCAAGAGTATCCTGCCCACACAGGCAGAGCCTGGCAAGCTCCCCATGGCATATTCGATATGCCAAGAACAGTAAAAATAACAGGTTTCATTCCCATGACCCTGAAAGAGCCTCCAATCATTGGGAAAGATGAGTAAGAAGAGGCTGCTAAAATCTCAGGGCTGGGATGAATAGAGACGTTACCGGCACCCGCTCGAGTAAATCGAGGAACAACGGGATGACAGTGATACAGTGATAGCCAAGAAATTAACCAATTGACCGTCAGCTCTGCCCAATCGCAGGCAGTGAGCCCCTTATATCTAAGCACCAGCAGCTCGGCTGGTGTCCCCTTCCTGCCTTCTATTGTGTCTCCATGAAAACAGCCCAGGAAATGTCCTGTTACTTCACAGATATTGCACGTCTGTTTAGACCTCGGTGGGAAAGCAGATATCACAATGAAAGGAGTCAGTAATTTTTTTTTTGTCTTCCACGATATACATGTTACACTGCATGGCAGACTATTAATTGTATAGTAACATTATGTCTAAAAATGCAGACTGGATTAGGGACAGAGAGGTAGTACTGGGGTGTGCTCTTGCCTTGCACACGGCTAACCTCGTTTTGATCCTTGGCACCACATATGGTGTTCCCAAGTACCACTATTCATGATCCCTGAGCACAGAGTCAGGAGTAACCCTGAACACTGCCAGGTGTCGCCCCAAAACCAATCAAACAAAAAATAACTTGATAGATAGTTCAAAGGACTCACGTGCATGTTTTGTGTGTGGGAGGCCTGGGTTCAATCTGAGCACTGCTAGGAGTGACCTCCAAGCACAGAACTGTGAGTAAACTCTGAGCACCTCTGGGGCTGCTGTCCCTCCCCCCATGCATAAAAGAATATCTTAAAGAAAAACCACAAAGCACAAAGTAAGCATATACTGTTGGAAAAATGGCCCCCGTAGACTTGCTCCAGGTAGATAAGGGCTGCCACAAGCGTTCAAGGTGTCCTTAAAAGGTGCAGCATTTGCAATATTCAGTAAAACAAAATGCAGTCAAATGAGGTGTGCCTCTGTTGCATTACATGTGACTGGGAATATGCAGAATTGTCCTCCCTGAATATTCTTTGCAGGAGTTTTTATAGGTTGAAGTTCTACCAGTCGAAGTAACTGATACAGCCTCCCTGAACACTTTTGCTTTCCTTGAGTCAAGGCTATGAATAGATTCTGTGGCTTATTGCTGGCTGAGTCCTCCCCACCCTGCTTCTTACCTCAACGATCATAGAAGCGGAAGATTTTTCCTGCTCTGTTTTAAAGATAGTTGTTAATGATTTTTAAATTATTCAAAAGGATAAAACAAAAAGTACTATGGTTTTCCACTTTCATGTTGGTCAAGATCTCAGCATTCCCCAAATTGATGTTAAAGGTCCAAGCAGTAAAAAATTCAAAGGAATTGTAAGTAAAATTCTAGGAGATCATATTTTATCAAATTTCAGTATTACCTTTTGCTACAAACCTTGGCATTTCCCTTTATATCTGAGAAAATATGCATATCACCTTCTGATAAAATTGAACAAAGGAAAATATCATTCTAGGTAGAGACTAGCAGAAATTTTTTTGTTAAACCCTCTTTGAAATATGAAGACTATAATCTGCCAGTGAAGGAGTAATTCACTTTCTCATGGCGTCTAAATTTGTAGCATGCGTTTTCCTACTAAGAACCCTTGGGATGGGGCCAGGGACAATAGACCCAATAAAAACTGAGCGCCTTCTGAAAGAGGAGGGCCTGTCGGGAGTTTGGTTAGCAGATGCCCCTTTTGACAAGTCACTGTCCTCAGTGGAATCTGCATCCTTCATAAGCTATCTTTTATTTTTTTAAGTTGTCGCTGATTGAGGACCACTTGGCTGGCCTGGAAGGAGGGGTGCTGGCCGACATGTTCGACTTCCTGTCAAAAGAGCTGGTGAGACTGCAGGAGGAGAGGCGCATCCACGCCTTTGCCATGATGGCAGAGCGACAGCGGAGGATGCGGGAGGCCGAGGAGAGTGGCCGGCGCCAGCTGGAGGAGAGGCGCCTGCGGGAGGAGGACCAGATATTTAAGGAGGCAAGTGGGGGCTCTGGGTGGCGGGTTGGGGCCTGGAGTCAGGGCCCCACAGAGGAGACTTGGGGTCTGCAGCTGGCAGATGCTCTCTGCTGCTCTTGCCCCTAGCAAACCTGTTTTGGGTTTCCTCACCAAGCCAGGGCATTGAGGAATGCGTCAGAGGGAATCCGTGCTCCTCCTTGGAGCTTAAGTGCCAACTGACACTCAGACAAGTACAGGATTAGAGGACGGTGGTTCCTTTCACAAGGCTGCCCTGCTTGCTGTGTGGAGAACAGGTCTGGAGGGAAGACAGGCTTGAGCAACTGCGGAAGATGGTCCGGGTCCTGAGGTGGGAAGGCCAAGAGGGGCAGTGGTTAGGGGCAGGGGTACACTCAGGACTTTGATTTCTGTTGAGTCTGAGATGTCATGGTGCTGTCACTTCCGCAAGTGAATACGCAGATGGAATTTAGAAAAGCAGGTTGGTCTAAAGAGATCCATATGGGATTTAGAATGCTCTTGTGGTAAATTAGCATTCTGACCAAGACACAAGTGAGGCGGAATTCCAAAGTGATCAAGGTGCAAACAGTAATTGGATCACTAACTAATAGTGCAAAACATTTTCACCCTCTTCAAGGTCAAGTGTTAAAAAGATTGGAGATAATTTGTGAGGGAAGGAACTTTAACCTAAGTTCCCTTTGAAAGAGAGAGAGAGAGAGGGAGAGAGGGAGAAAGAGGAGAGAGAGAGAGAGAGAGAGAGAGAGAGAGAGCTATTATCTGGGCATAAGCTTTGCATGCCCGGATCCCAAGTTCAGTTTCTGGCATTGTGGGGACCCCCTGAGAACTTCCGGGCATGTCCCCCAAATACTGCCAGAAATGGCCAGGAGCCCCACCTGCTGTGACTCCAAAACAAAACAAGCAAAAAAGGTTAACCTCTTAATTTTAATTTTTTTGCTTTGTTTTGGTTTTGTTTTGGTGCCACACCTGGTAGTGCTGGTGTCGTACTCCTGGCTCTGTGCTCAGCTGTCACTCCTGGCAGGTCTCAAACGACCATGTGTGATGCCTAGGATTGAATTTGAGTCGACCATGTGCAAGACATGTTCCTTACCCCTATGCTGTCTCTCCAGCCCAAATCTGAATGACTTTAGTCATAATCTTCATTTCATATTATTTCTAAAATTTGTCCCTCTCTAATTCCCTCTTTGGTGGTTAATTTTAATATACATAATACACTACTAATGAAGTGTATACATATAATTAAAAAATTAATAAATGTGCATATTTTGGGGTTGCATACACTCAAATAATTATCTCAGTATGTTCTATGCAATTAATAAATATTTGAGATTTCTATGTAGTCTTGTTACTGTGAAGCCAGTTTGTTTCCTGAATGGGTTCTTGAATTTTGCATGTAAAATTTGCATATAGAACTAAAGATGCATATTAAGCTATAGTATATTTTTGTACAGTTTAGTAGGTTGTTGTAGGTTCCTCTCCAGTATCCAGGCTTCTCTCTCTCTCTCTGTCTCTGTCTCTCTCTCTCCTTCCTCTTTTTTTCTCTCTCTTTCCTCTTTCTGTCTGTCTCCTTCCTCTCTCTCTCTCTCTCTCTCTCTCTCTCTCTTCTCCCCCTGTCCCATTCTCCCATGTACGATGTCACTTGTCATCCCCTCATGACCTCGCCAGTGAACTGTATCATCTGTCTGTCCCTTGGCTATGGCCAGGTCCTGTTTCCTTCTATACTCAGTCCAGTATGTGGCTTCCCAGTCTGAGCTCTGCTGCCACAGTATTGGAACCGGTGTCCCTTTGTTGGTGCTTCCTGCTCTCTGTTTTGTCCCGGGCTTCACAGCCTGCCTCCCAAGGCCTATAGCACCGAACATCCTCATCCCTTTGGTGTGTCTTTTTTCCCCCAGAGTTCCCTTTCCTCAAGGGAAAATTCCCCTTGAGAATTTTCACTGTTCCTCTGGCCCAACACACACACATCTGCCACATCCGCACCCAGACATCCCAAGGTGGAGAGGCTCTTTTCCCTTGGCTCTTGTTATCGGAGAGCTTGATCCGTATTCTTTCAGCCAGGGTATCCAGCTTCCTGGGAGTGGAGGGCAGGGCTAGGGTGGCCAGTTGTTTCTGAAGTAGGCACAGCCCAGAGCAATGGAGGCAAAGCTGACCGAAAGCCTCACGGAACAGATGTGGGCCACATGGTCAAGAGAAAAAGAGCCAAGTTGTAACTTTAAAAAAATATATTCCAGAAGGCATTCTGAACTGCATGCATGTCCTTTTGACTTTCGCAGACTAAAGAGAAAAAAATGTGAATTTGGGGATTTTCCCCATCCCCTCCTTAATTGATTTATTAGCAGTCTTGAGCACAACAGAACTTCGTGGATATAGTTTAATACGTCTGTATAAAACACACTGAACCCACCTCAAATTCCTGGTGTCACTCAACCACCAAAAAGATTCCTCTCCTCATTCCCTTGTTCTTTTTTCCCTGGGAACCACCGTAAGTTTTCATCAAATCTAAGTTTTTTAGTTTTAAAAAACTTTTTAATTGAATCACTTTGAGATAGATCCTTACAAATCTGTTCATGATTAGGTTTCAGTCATACAGTGTCCCAACACCCATCCCTCCACCAGTGTCCATTTCCCAGCACCAGTGTCCCCAGGTTCCCTCCCATCGCCCTCCACCTCCCACCCCCTTCCTGCTTCTGTGGAAAGCGATTTTCTTCTCTCTCTCTCTCTCTCTCTCTCTCTCTCTCTCTCTCTCTCAGTTTTATTTTGCGTGATTTTCTTCTTTAATTATATTCAACAAATGAGTGTCAAATCATGCAATTCTCTTACAACTCCTTAGCTATTTCACTTAGCATGATCAGCTCAGGATTCATCCATTTTGTATCAAAAACTCAATTTAGTCATTTAATGGTAGTATCGTATTCCAGTAAGAATGGTACATGTGCCCCACTCTGACGGGACCGCCCACGAACACACACCCCACCCCACCCCACCCCCGCTACTGATTAAGCTCCTTAACGGTCATTATCCCAGAGACACACAAATGAATCTTGGAACTGAGTGGCTCTTGGCAGAAATCTCTCCAGACCTAATTATTAAAATTTTAGAATTCCAAAATCATAATATGCTATTCAAAACCAGCAATAGAAAACAAATTGTCTAATGTTGCCTTTTCAGCAGGTCTGAGTGTTTGGGGAAAATTACAAATAATAATGGTGAAACTAGTGTCAAAATATTGAATGTAATCAAAGTATAGAAAGAGTAATGTGGAAATTATCTGCCACACAGGTAGTGGTCGGGGTTGAATGAGGAGTATACTGGGGGTTTTGGTGATGAAAAATGTCACTGCTGAATAGGTGTTTGATCATTGCATGACCAAGACTCACGGTGGATTCAATTAAAAAAAAGAACAGTACATGCCCAACAGTCTCTATCCAGCCATCTGCTGGTGGGCATTTAGGCTGATGTCCTGCTGAAGGTGATGAATAATGCTGCAATAATAATAATAATGATAATAATAATAATGTGGGTGCACACATCACTTTGAATTAGTAATCTCCACATCAGCTCCATAGAGCTATACCAGTTCACAGTCTCACATGCATCATACCTTTTCCCACATCCTCTCCAGTGCTTATTGTTTTCAGATTTTTTTAATATGCTACATTCTTACAGGCCTGAGGTGTTACCACATAGTGGTTTTGCTTTGTACTTCAGTTTGGAGTTTTCTAATTTGATTTAAGATTCCAATGACTTGTCCAATTTTCATGGAATAAGATTGAGGATATGTACTATTTGGCTTTTATTTGGTTTGTTTGTTTTTGGGGACACATCCAGCAGTGCTCAGGGCTTATTCCTGGTTCTGTGCTCAGGGATCACTCCTGTCTGGCTTGGGAGACCATATATACTGCCAGGGATTGAACCCATGTCACTTGTATGCAAGGCAAACATCCTTCCCACTGTACTATCTCTCCAACTCCAAAGATGAATACTATTTGATGGGTGTTTTTGTAACCGAAAAAACAAAAGCAAACGAAAAAAATGGATTAAAACTAAACAATCTGCCTTCCTTTTATAAAGCTTAAGATACTTTGGCTATACATTTTTCAGGCTCAACTTTTTTTTCCTTTTTGTTTTCTTGGGTCACACCTGGAAGTACTCAGGGTTTATTCCTGGTGGGCTCGGGGGAACCATATATGATCCATATATGATACTAGGGATGGAACCTGGCCCATTGTATACGTATCACATTGGCCACATGTAAGACAAGCTCCCTACCCACTGTACTACTACTCCAGCCCCAGGTTCAACAATTTAACAGAAGTAACAGATCATGTATAATATTTAATAACCAACAGTATTCAGATTCTAGTTTTCTGCCATCCTAATACATATTTCTTTAAGAAGAGTTATTAAGATATATAAACATTTAAATTAGAAGTTATTTTTCCTGCTATCAATTACTGGGTAAAACCAGTTGGGAGAGGACAAGTCAACCAAGATTGAGAATAACGTGGTACAGAACAAAGGAACCAATCTGGAGAAAGAAAGAAGGCGAAAGGCTTTATTGAAAGGGCGTTTTCCTCCTTCGTTTCTTCCTTTCTTCCTTCCCTCCTTAATTTTTTTCTTTTTGAATGATGCCAGGAAATGTGAGTCATGTTTAGAAAGGGAAAGAAAGGATTAGGATGACTTTTCCAGGATGATTTAAGGATAATAGACTCCATATTCAGATACCATCCATCATCTTCATCACCAACTTTCCTTCATAAAACTCTCTTAATGACAAACATGTTGGGCTGGAGAGATGGGACTATGGGCAAGCCCTGAGAACAGGGCCGGGGAAAGGACAACCAGTGTCCTCCAGCCTCCTCCCTACACAAAACAGAAAAGATAAACATGCCCATACACAAATATATAGAGATACTGAGAAACACTGATCCAGACTTATATTTATTTTGTTTTTGGGGGCCGTGTGTAGTGGTGTTCAGGGCTCACTTCTGGCTGTGCTTGGGGGGACGTATGTGGTACCCAGGATTGAACCCGGGCAGCCATGTTTAAGGCAAGTGGCTTACCCCCTTTTCTAGCTCTCTAGCCTGTACACTCATATACTCTGCTTATTTATTTTATTTTGTGGCTACACCCAATGGTGTCCTGGGCTTACGCCTGGCTCTGGACTCAGGTATCACTCCTGGCAGTGCTCAGGAGACTATGTGGGGTGCCAGGAATTGAACCTCCATCAGCCACATGAAAAGCAAGTGCCCTGCCCACAGTATTAGCACTTCGGTCCCACTTTTTTTTGTTTTTAGAGTGTAAAACTTAGTTTTCTTGTTTTATGCCACTACTTTTGTTTTGACTATTTTAAAATTCAGTAGTATTAGTAGTAATAGTAGTGGTGGTGGTGGTGGTAGCAGCAGTAGCAGTAATATTGTAGTTTACACAAAAAGTTTGGGCTGGAGCAATAGCACAGCGGTAGGGCGTTTGCCTTGCACGCAGCCAACATGGCCGACCCGAGTTCGATTCCTCCGCCCCTCTCGGAGAGTCCGGCAAGCTACCGAGAGTATCTCACCCGCACGGCAGAGCCTGGCAAGATCCCCGCGACGTATTCGATATGCCAGACACAGTAACAACAAAGTCTCCAATGGAGACGTTACTGGGCCCGCTCAAGCAAATCGATGAACAACGGGAGGGCCTTTACTTACTTACTTACACAAAAAGTTTATAATATGGTTTTGATGGTAATTAATTATGGTTGACATGGTTTTGATATGTAATTACTGCGCCTTACTACCATCAAAGTGGCCAACACCTTCCACTACTGTCCTTATGTTACCTCCAGTCTTCCTCTTCTGCCTCCCCAACGTCTCCCTCCCCCGCCCCCCAACCTCCACCTAGTCACTGTCACTGTCACTGTCCTCTCGTTGTTCATTGATTTGCTCAAGCGGGCCCAGTAACATTGTGAGACTTTTTGTTACTGTGTTTGATATATCAAATACACCATGGGGAGCTTGCCAGGCTCTGCCGTGTGGTGAAATTCTCTCGGTAGCTTGCCGGCCTTATTTTAGTAATCTTAGTTATATAATCCAAGGCCAGGGGGTTATAATCATTCAATATTATCTCTATCTTTGTTTTATTCCTCCCCACAAATGAGTGAGATCATCTGGTATTTGTCGTTCTCCAACTTCTTCCACTTAACATTATACTCCCCAGTTTCATCCAAGTTGCAGCAAACTGCAAAGTTTCATCTCTTCTTGAAGCTACATAGAATTCCATTGTGTACATATCACAACTTCCTTGTCCATTCATCTGTTAATGAACATATATATATATATTATTTCCATATCCTTGCTATGGTACTGTAGCACTATTCTCCCGTTGTTCATTGATTTGTTCAAGTGGCCCTAGTAACGTCTTCATTGTGAGACTTGTTACTGCCTTTGGCATATCAAATACTTCACGGGTAGCTTGCCAGGCTTTACCATGTAGGTGAGATACTCTCGGTAGCTTGCCGGGCTCTCCTAGAGGGGCGGAGGAATCAAAACCGGGTTGGCCGCATGCAAGGCAAACGCCCTACCCGCTGTGCTATCTAAGTACTATAATGAACATATGTGTATATGTATAGTTTTGGTTGGATCCTCTTGTGTTTGAGGGGTTGATACCAAGAAGAAGAATCACTGGGTCATGTGAAAATTTTATTCTTACTTTTTTTTAGAAGTCTCCATATTGCTTTCATAGAGTCTGAACCAGACAACATTCTCACCAACAAGGAGTGAGCATTTTTTTCTCACCGCATCCTCTCAACACTGGTTCTTTCTGGTCTTTTCAATATATACCATTTTCATTGATGCAAGATATATTATTGTCCTTTCAATTTTCAGTTCTCTGATAATATATGGCATATACTTTTTCATATGTCTACTGGCCATCCATATATCCTTTTCATGAGTGTGTTGTTCATCTCACCCATTTTTTAAATTGGGGTTACTTTTGCTGTTATTAAGCTTTGTCGGTGCTTAATGTACTTTAGATATTAGCCCTTTGCCTTATATATGCTGGATACAAACACATTCTTGGATTTGTGTATTTATATTCACAACCACAGTCCTGTGCACAATAAGTAGCAAAGGCATAAAGGAATACATATAGATGATATAGATGCATATTTAAGCACTTTCTATGTTTCCTTATTTATTCATAAGTACATATGTGTCCAGTAATTTTGATATTTAGGAAGCCATATGTAAATTTTTGAGGACATATATTGCTAGAGATAGACGAAGCTTTCCATCTCTAAGCTGTTTTCTGACTCAGCTGTCTAATTGTTCCATTCAGGGACTGGCTTCCTCCTGGACTCCCAGAGAGCAGGCATATTGTGTGTCCCTTTGTAACTTAACAGTGCCAGCTTAGGCCTCCGTGCAGATTAGCCATTGAGCAAGTATAATTTGCTTGTTTGCCTGGCTCGTACAGTAGTAAACTCGTCATCGGACCTCTCCCCTAAGGAAGGAGGAGGAATTCCAGACCATGGATCTGGTGTCATACAGGTAGATGTGTTGCAGTAGGCCTTACATACACAATCCTGGCGTAGTCCTCTTCAATAAACAGGTACCAGAATGTGTGCCACCCTCACACATGGGCCAGAGAGACAGTACAGCGGGGAAGGTGCTTGCCTTGCATGCAGCTGACCTTGATTTGATGCCCAGTACCGGTTATGGTTCCCCGAGCACCACAGTGAGTGATTCCTGAACATAGAGCCAGGAGTAAGCCCTGAGCACTGGGTGTGACCCTCCTCCAACTCCCAGTGAAAAGAAACAAGTAACAGGTAATTACTGAGCATTCTCACAGTTACAAAGGAATATTCAGACATGAAATAGGAAAGTTCCCTTCCCCAACAAACTGCAGTTCTGTGGAGGAGAGCGGATACACGTGTAAGTTGGTGCTTTCGGTACTTCCTGCCTATCTGTTGTAGACAGGCAAAACAGCTATTATTTTGGGTTGAATGCTTAAGGAGCAAACCATTAAGGGAAAAGCAGGAATTGACCATAAAACATTTAAGAATGGGAGGGGCTGTGGGCTGGAAGAAATCTAAGCCTTTATGTGCTCTACCCTTTTTTGAAATATGTATTCTATTACACTATTTTTATATTGAAATCACCATTATACTATTTTAAGGAAAAAATTTAAAGCAGTCTAATTTGATACAATAGTTAAATATTTTCAGAAGATACTGAGTATCTCCTAACTTTCTGATTTTCTGGGCTAAGGCATGACCCTTATGGCAGTTTTGGTTTGGGGACCACATCTACTGACACTACACCCAGCTCTGTGCTTGAGGGTCACTCCTGGCACTACTTGGGTGCCATGTGGTGCTGGGTACTAGACATTCACTCAGGCAGCTGAGCTATCTCGCTGGCCCACTCGTGACAGTTTTAGGATGACTTCTAGTGCTCCAGCATTATTCCCTAGAAAGAAGTAATGAAAAGAGAGATTAAACTAACAAAACAAAGAAAAGTGCTCGCCTTTCTCTCAAGAATCCTTTCTGGAGGACTGGAGAGAAAGCTCAGTGGCTCATTGCACCTGCCTTTCAACCTTGCAAGCTCATGACTATGAGGTAAGTTTCCCAGTGCCAGTATCCTGTCTGTGCTGAGCACGGCCATAGCAGACCTGCTGTTTAAGTCTGGAACTCTTGTCATCTGTGATCCCCAGAACCACAGAAGAAAAGAAACGAGAAAGAGAGAGGGGAAGTAAAAAAAAGAAAGAAGAAAAAGAAAGGAAGAAGGTAGGAAAGAAAGAGGACCAATAGTACTAGAAAATGTATATTTTATTCTAAGCACTTGGCCCAGAAAAACTCAGGGGTTCTATTATTAAGGTAGAGGGAGAGAAAAGACATTGGGAAATACTTATTAGCATTTATTAGTGTTTGCTTATTTTACTCTCACAGTTAGGGAGTTTGACCAAGACACAGAGCCGATAGAAAGCAAGTCAGAATCCTAAGCCAGGTTACTCTGAAGGCCAGCGCCTTTCTGCGGGCTAGTATCACTTATGCCCTTGTCAGGCTGCTCAGAATGAGTGGGTAAATGGATTAGACAGAGGTGAACTGACTAAATGGTCAAGAAGGAGTGATCAGTGAGAGGCACATTGATTTAACACAAGAGACAAATATGCTGTTGTGCAGTGCCTGTGTATTTTCCTTGTCTTGTTTGCGATGGCTTCCCTGTTCTGAGTAACTCTGGGGGATTGGCTTTGCAGATGATTAAAATTCATCAAAGTACTGTATCCTCTTATCTGGAAGATATAATACTAAATGCTGAAGAGAGTACCGCAGACGTTCAGGCCAGGGAAGAAATTGAGAAGATAGCTCAACAGATCAATGATGTTGCTTATGAAATGGAGGACCGGTATGTACTCCCTTCCCCCTTCAAGATGGTGGAATTGCAAATATTTTCAGCAGTTTAAGATTTAACCTTCAGATAAATATTTGTGTATGGCTAATGCATTAGTGTTCACTATTTAAAAGGAAAGCATAACTTAAAAAATTTGTTATTTTTAATTGTTATCTTTAAGATTTTTTAATTGAATCACTGTGAAATAGTCCCTTACAAAGCTGTTCATGATGAGATTTCAGTCATACAGTGTTCCAACACTCATCCCTCTATCAGTGTACATTTCCCAGCACCAGTGTCTCTAGGTGCCTTCCCATCACCACCAGACTACCTCTTTGGGAGGCAATTTTCTTCTCTCTCTCTCTCTCTCTCTCTCTCTCTCTCTCTCTCTCTCTCTCTCTCTCTCATACACACACACACTTTCATTTTGGGCACTGTTTTGCAATATAGATACTGAAAGGTTTTTCAGAATATCCCTTTACCTACTTTTAAACACTCAGTTCTTTTCCAGCATGATCATTTCCAGCTATAATTGTCATGCTGCTCTGGAAAGCACAACTCTTGAGATATCAACATGAATGCGCCTTTTTGTGGTTTCTATATCCCACTGGGTCTGGTGCAGTTTCCCTTTCCTTGGGAACTGGGTATTTGATTATAGTCTGGTATCCAAATACTTTCATATTTCTAACTTTGAGAATGTGCAAAGCAAGAAAGCAATATGAATATGTATCTTCAACATTAGATTTAAGTTTCCATATATGAGTTGATTATCTTATATTCCCTTCCTAGCAGGCAAGGTAAATTATTTAGAGGATTACATATGCAATGTCCATGGAGTGAGCTCTGCTCACCAGGAATATGCTATTTCAGATCCTTAATCAAGGAAGAGTCAATAGTACACATAAGCTGTGAAGTTCCTAACACAAGCCACCAAAGAACTCATCCAAAAAAATTTTTTTTTTATGTTTTAGTCGAACTACACTTCAGTCAGAGGAAATTGTTGCAGAGTTAGTTTATAGTTTCCTGATCCCAGAAGTACAAAAGAACTTTGTCAAAGAAAAAGGTAAACCAATGTACATGTTTCTTTTTATAATTTTTTTTGAAAAATATATTCATAGGGGCTGGAGAGACAGTACAGGGGGTAAGGTGCTTGCCTTGCTACATAATGGGCCTGGTTCAATCCCTAGTACTGAGTTGGATCATTTGAGCACTTCTACGAATGATCTCTGAGACAGAGCCAGGAGGAGGACCTGAGCAGCCCTGAGTGGGACCAACCCCCATCCCCCTCCCTCCCCTGCCAAACACACACACACACACACACATACACACACACACACACACACACACACCCCTTACCCACCACTCACAGAGGAGATCATTTTCAGTGCACCTCAGATTTCAAACTGAGTAGAGTTATGGGGAAATTTCAGGAGAAGAATCACTTGCTGAGTTTGGAGGTTTAAAAATCCAAACCTTCTCTAAAAGGAGATTCCCAATCTTCCAGAAGACGAGTATTTTGAGATTTGGTGGCTCTTTACACATAAAGTGAGTGTTGAGAAGCATATAGAACTGCCCTTTGGGGTAGGGTGTGTGCAGAGTGAGTGCTGAAAGCTGGGGTGTCTGGAGGGCTTTAGTCTTCTCTGCTGCTCAGCCCGTGCCACAACTACCTCCTCTTTCTGCCAGGATTGAATCTAAGTTAGGTACTGGAGGGATGTCTATCTCCAGCACCCCAGATGGTCCCTCAAGCCCCGCCAAGAGTGACCCTTGAGCCCAGAGCCCCGAGGAAACTCTGAGCACAACTGGGCATGGCCTCCAAAACACAAACAAAATCCTCATTTATCATTTGCCAAAGGTGGCAATTTTTAAAATTTAAAACATTCACTTGTATCACTTGTCATCCCATTGTTCATCGATTTGCTCCAGTTGGTGCCAGTAATGTCCTCGTTTGCTCCATTTGTCCCTGCCATGTTATAGTGTATCCCAATGGCGTCTGCTCACTTCTGGAACATGAAGAGCGTCAAACTGTTTGTTCAGGGTCTTGACGAAGAAGTCCGACCATCTCGTAGGTGGGCAGTCAGGCTTTCTTTTGACATCCCGTGGAATCCAGTTGGTAACGGCTCTAGTCCAGCAGTCATCTCCAAATTGCATTACGTGATTTTTGATGCCTTGGCAAATGAGACAGCGCCCCTGATTCTCGATCATGGATGGAGGTCGGAACTCCGGGTTCCTTCTCTCACTTGAGGGAAGCCTGATACTCCAAGCATAGCTCTTTCGATTCCTCTTTGGGAGACCTGAATAGCATTCTCATCCTGTTTTCATAGGGCCGAGGTCACTGATGCACATGTTAGTGCAGGAAGAACAGTGGAGGAGAAAAGATGTGCCTGGAGCCAGAGGTTCCTGGGTTGGCTGAGTGGTTCAGGGCTAGCGCCCTCCCCACTGTACTATCTCTCCAGCCCCAAAGTGGTAATTTTTTTAAAAAGTAATGTCTTTAGTCAATAGAGGAGATAAAATATATCTGAAAAAATAAAAGAGGAGTATTATTCTGGAGCTGTTAATCATTGGCGATTGTCCTAATCCCAGAAGAGGGCACAGCCAGGAGAAGACCAACATTTAAGTGAAATAACACCTTGAGAAATTGCAGCTATGCAGGGGAGTACTGGCCAGGCTTACGAGAAGAGTATGTAATGTTTCAGCTCACTGAACCCAGGATCAAGGAGCAGTGTAGTTCTAATAAAGTCTTTGAACAGAAAAATGTCTTAGCTTCCCATTATGTGATTGTACTATAATTTTAAAACCAGTAACCCTTTTAAATGAACATTTGACCTGTTTCTGGTGTGATTTTCTGTAATTATCCAAGTTGCAGTTGATGTACTTTTTTTTCTTTTTGCTTTTTGAGTCACACCTGGCAATGCTCAGGGGTTACTCTTGGCTCTGCACTCAGGAATAACTACTGGCGGTGCTCGGGGGACCATATGGGATGCTGGGAATCGAACCTGGGTTGGCCGCCTGCAAAGCAAACGCCCTGCCCTCTGTGCTATTGCTTCAACCCAAGATAATTTTTATCATGGAAAAATTATAATGAATGTTGACAATGCTCCAGCCCCTGATGTACTTTTTATATGTGTCCTGATTATGCTTCTGTGATTTGATTCCTAGTGGTATAATACTGGATTCCTAGCAATACAAATACTCTCAGCATCTCACATTGTGACAGATAGTGCCAACTTGCCTCCCCAAAAACAAGATCCTTCTAATCAGTCCTCCCATCAACAGTATAAGATAGTGCTTAAGGTAAAGGTAAAGGCCCTCCCGTTGATCGTCGATTTGCTCGAGCGGGCCCAGTAACGTCTCCATTGGAGACTTTGTTGTTACTGTGTCTGGCATATCAAATACTCTCAGTAGCTTGCCGGGCTCTCCGAGAGGGGTGGAGGAATCGAACTCGGGTCGGCCATGTTGGCCGCTTGTAAGGCGAACGCCCTACCCGCTGTGATAGTGCTTATTCTGACAAAATTTAATTTTTAGGCCAAGCAATAGGCAATATATATCACATTATAGAATAAAGATGCCTTATGTTTTTACATCCCTGAGAAAGTTTGTCCCCGTTAGCACCTTTCACAAAGTAAGGACAAATGTGAACTGATATCATCATCATCATCATCATCATTGTCATTCTTCTTTTTTAAAGGAAAAATCTTACCATAAGATCTTGATAACAAATAGACTACATTCTAAAGTCATGAGCTCAAAAACTTATCATGAATCAACAAGTGTCCTCTGTATTAGGAACTGAGATTCAAAGAGAAGTATGAGAAAAGGACTTTATCTTGAATAATATTTTTTTTTTGGTAGAAAACAAATGGTAAATCACATGAAGTGCTTCCATTCTGGAAGGGCTGATACAAACATGAGGTTAGGAAATGGTGTGCATGAACCGAAGTGCCAGAGGAAACCTCCGAGCGAGGTTTGGATTGAGTTGGGGTTTGTAGAGATGCATAGAATTTGGCATGCAGGTATTCCAGGAGAAAAACAATTGTGGAGGGGGTGTGAAGTGGAAGCAAACGTGGTGGGGAACGATCCTTGGCCAGAACCCAAGAACAGGGTTGAAACGATCCTTGGGAAGAAAGAGCCAATGGTAATACAATTTGGGTTTAGTTATCTTTATTTAGAAAGAGAAAAACAGTGCTCGCTTCGGCAGCACGTATACTAAAATTGGAACAATACAGAGAAGATTAGCATGGCCCCTGTGCAAGGATGACATGCAAATTCATGAAGCATTCCATAGTTTTCACTGGGACCCGTGGTGGTGGAAAACGGGCACTGGTGGAGGGATGGGTACTTGATCATTGAATAACTGAAACCCAAGCACAAAAATTTGTAAGTCTACAACTGGACCTCATGGTGTCTCACTAATAAAAATTTTTAAAAAAGATTAAAACACTGGAATGATGACGAAAGGTGATTGGGCCACACCTGGTGGTGCTCGGGGCTTATTCCTTGCTCTGTGCTAGGGGAATCACTCTTTTTTTTAAATTTTTTTTTATTTTATAAAGTAGCTCACTCTGTTTGATTACGTTTAATATTCAGACACCAATCCCACCACCATTACACCTTCCCATCACCATATCTGAAATGTTTTCATCCCGAACCCTAATCCCTGCCCCAAAGCAGAACTGAAATAATAACATTTTGTATTATTTGTCATGAAAAACTGCTGAAAATGCTACAGAAAAGTATCCCTAGAGGAAAGAGTGTGAAGATTGTTGTATTTTACCCAGGGGACATTAAGCTCTTCCATAAGTCTGTGAAAAATATTTCAGGAATCACTCTTAACAGCGGCCAGAGAACCCTGAGCAGACCAGGGGATTAAACCCTCTGTGGTGTGCAAGGCAGTGCCTCCCCTGCTGGGTATCTCTCCAGCCCCTGGGTTTGGCGTCTTATAAAAGAGAGCCGGTAATTTGTATTTAATATATTCAGGCTCAAGCCAAGGAATGGCGTTCGCAAAATTACGATTCTCAATTTTTTCTACTACATTGGCACAACATTGGTTTAAAAGAGTATAAGTGTGTGTGTACCCAAGGAATATAATGTACACCACACCCACCAATGAAATGCCAATTTCTTTCAAATTTTAAGGTAAAAGGTAAAGGTAAAGGCCCTCCCGTTGATCGTTGATTTGCTCGAGCGGGCCCAGTAACATCTCCATTGGAGACTTTGTTGTTACTGTGTCTGGCATATCAAAATTTTTATTGAGGTACTGTGATTTACACTGTTAGTGGCAGTTTTATGCATACATGGTTTCAATCCCACACCCATCATTAGAATGCCCACTTTGCCCCCAGAATGCCGGTTCCTTTACGCCTCCCTCAGAAACCTTTGGGACAGCTCAGTAGGCTGAGTGCGTGCTTTGCATAAAGGGGACCCAGATTCCACCTACAACATCCCCTGGTCCCCGGAGCACTGCTTGATGTAGCCCCACCCCACCCCCGGGTCCCTCCTCCCAATCCAAAACCAAACTAAAAACCATCAGGAATGGTTTCCTGCAGATTTTCAGGGAGGGTCTTCTTTGTGTCCTTGGCACAGTGAGGGACGCCCAGCGGAAGCACATTCTCGCAGCCCACCAGATCATCCACGCTGAGATGGACGAAATGCTGCTGAGGCGCGCAGAGGAGGAGAAGCTGCTGGAGCTGCAGCGGGAGCAGGAGAGGCAGTGGCTGCTGGAGGTACAGCAGCAGTGGCAGAGGGAGCAGGAGCAGCAGTGGCAGCTGGAGCTGGAGCAGCAGCGGCAGTTAGAGCAGGCCTGGGAGCAGGTGCTGGGGCAGGGGCAGGAGCAGGAGCAGCCACAGGAGAGCCCCGAAATTCCAGAGGAGAAGAAAGACGCAAAAGACTCAAAATGAGGTGGGTTTGAGTCGTGTCTGTCCGGGCTGTGCGATAGCACCAGCGGGTAGGGCATTTGCCTTGCACGCAGCTGACCTGGCCCACCCAGGTTCCATTCCTCCGTCCCGCTCAGAGAGCCCGGCGAGCTACCCGTGAAGTGTTCGATATGCCAAACACAGTAACAAGTCTCACGATGGAGACGTTACTGGTCCTGCTCGAGCAAATTGATGAACCATGGGAGGACAGTGACAGTGACAGCGAGTTGTGTCTGGAAGGAAGCGGAGGGAGGAAGAGAAGAAATATCATCTAGCAGCCACGTGCTCTGCTATGCAGAGTGCCCGCTGGTCACAAGGATATGCAGTGCCACTTCAGTTGGTGCTTTCCATTTGGGTGGTGCAGCCATTTATTAAAATTTCTAGAGAGCAAAATGGATTCACAAAACGTGGGTTCCTGCATTCCAGAAAACAGGACTCTGGATCTTTCCTTCTTACACCCACCTCTACCCCAATGCTTGGAATCAACACTTGCAGAATTCATTCTTGACCACTGAGCTACGTCCCTGAGTTATAAGCCCTGCTAGATAATTTGGGGTGGAGGGGTCATACAGTTGATGCTCGGGGGTTATTCCTGGTTCTGCACTCAGAAATCACTCCTGGTGGTTCTCAGGGGACTGTATGGGATGCTGGGGATGAAACCCGGGTTAGCAGCATGCAAAGTGAGCACTGTACCCACTGTACTATCTCTCCAGCTTCCTGCAAGATGATTTTTAATGGGTTCAGTTAGCATCTGACTAAACTCCCTCATAAATAAAATCACAGTGTGTCAGTGGAATGTGTCAATGTCCTTTTCATAGAGAGGTGGACTCGTTAGTAGGCACAGCACCCACACCTTCTGCAGTGCCCCTGAGAACTTCGTCTTAGGATCAGCTAAACATCTGCACTCACAAGCCTAACTCAGACCATGTTTGTTGTGAGTTGAGCATCCGTCTCCTCAGAAGATAGCACAGGAGTCACAGTTGCCGTTAGAAGAGCACAAGGCGTTTCCTTCCCGTGGGAGCTCTGGCCATGCTCGCACAGAAGAGCACGGAGGGGTGGGGAGGATATATGGGAACAGTGGTGGAGAGGTGCTGACACCAGTGGTGGGACTGATGTTGAAATATTAGATACTTAAAACTTAGCTATCAACAACTTTGTAAATCACAAATCTGAGCGATAGCACAGCGGTAGGGCGTTCGCCTTACAAGCGGCCAACATGGCCGACCCGAGTTCGATTCCTCCGCCCCTCTCGGAGAGCCCGGCAAGCTACCGAGAGTATTCGATATGCCAGACACAGTAACAACAAAGTCTCCAATGGAGACGTTACTGGGCCCGCTCGAGCAAATCGACGATCAACGGGAGGGCCTTTACCTTTACCTTACCTAATGAAAAACAAAAAAGAAGAAGAAGAGCACAGAGTGTCGGGACCAATAGTATAGCAGGTAGGACATTTGCCTTGCATGTGGTCTACCCGGTTCAGTCCGTGGAGTCACGTGCAGTCCCCCAAACAGCGTAAGTGCTCGTAAATCACTCAGGGTAATTCCTGAGTGCAGAGCCAGGAGGGACTCCTGAGCATTGGCAGGTATGAGCCCCAAACAAAACAGAACAAAACAGAAGAAGGAGGAGGGAGGAGGAACAAGAGGGAGAAGGAAGAGGGGGAGGAGGAGGAAGAGAAAGAGCAGGAGAAGGAGAAGGAGAAGATCTTTCTTTAGCAAGAGCAAAACTCAAAGTGCCGAGAAGCGTTTCAGGGTGAGTGTATTTAGGGTTTAGGAGTCACACAGTTTATATGGAGTCACCCATGTGCCAGTATCTTTGATAATAACTACAAGGCCTCGCTTCCAGGGTTTCCACAGTGGGCTTGCCCAGTGACAAAAGTCAGCGTGCCCAGAGTAAATCAGTGCTATGGGTTTCCACAGGTCTGAACAGTTCATCGATAAGTCTTCCCAGTTAGTATGCTACTTGAGTATGTAGAGGACATTTATTTTTTACCACAAGTTGGATTATTAATTTTTGGTCTTTTTTACCTTAGTGGTTTTAGTAATTAACACTTGCCACCCTATCAGACTGTAGCACTGTCCTCCCATTGTTCATCGATCTGTGCAAGCGGGTACCAGTAACGTCTCACAACAAATTGTGAGACTTGTTACTGTATTTGGCATACTGAATACATCACAGGTAGCTTGCCAGGCTATGCCGTATGGGCGAGATACTCTCGGTAGCTTGCCGGGCTCCCCAAGAGGGGTGGAGGAATCGTACTCAGGTCAGCCTGTCGGCCGCGTGCAAGGCAACCACCTTACCCCCTGTGCTATTGCTCTGGGCTTCTAGGGGGGGAAAGCTAGAATCCATTGTAAGTAAGATTTTCCTGACTGATCCCACTGCCGGTGTTAACTTCCTTTCACCACTGTTCCCAGGCTCACCTCCGTATCTGCCCCCAACCCCCTCCAGCATCCCTCTAGACAGGCCCCTTTCTAAGTTCAGTTGTTGAAGTTTGGGTCTTTTGATTTCAGTGTTGTTGACTCTGTAGTTTGAGTATTTGGCTCCATCATTCCTTAAGACCGCCTTTGTCCATGAATCCTTGTTTCTCATCTGTCTCTTCTTCCCCTCCCCTCCACTTTCTTTTCTTCTCCTCCCTATTATACTTTGGGACCTAGGTTAATCTGGGCATCCCCCCTAAAACATTGCATCCTTGCACCCAGTTACGCTAAATACCACATGTAAGTGATACCATCCTGTGTTTATCCTTCTTCCGGCTTACTTCTTTTAATATGATATCTTCCAGTTTCATCCCTGTTGCTGTGAATCACATGGTTTCATCCTTCCTTGCAGCTGTGTAGTATTCCACTGGGTACATATACACATTTTAGTGATACACTTATCTGTCATTGGATAGATTGATTCTAAATCTTATCTATTGTGCTGAGTGCTGCAATGAATAATGGCGTGCACACATTCTTTGGAATGAACATCTTTCTGTCCTGGGAATAGATACTAAAAAGTGTAACTGCTGGGTCATATAGGAGCTCATTTCTTAGTTTACTAATCACACTACATACTGTTTTCCATGGGCGGAGTGATAGCACAGCTTGTAGGGTGTTTGCCTTGCATGCAGCTGACCCGGGTTCGACTCCTCCATCCCTCTCGGAGAGTCTGACAAGCTCCTCGTGGCATATTCGGTAGGCCAAAAACAGTAACAAGTCTCACAATGGAGACATTACTGGTGCCTGCTCCAGCAAATTGATGAACAATGGGAGGACAGTGCTACAGTGTTACTATTTTCCACAGGGATTGAACCAGACAACATCCCCATCAGCAGTGGATGAGGTTTCCTTTTCCCCCATATCCCTGCCAAAAGAAATTGTTCCCAGTATTTTCGATTATGCTTCATTCTCACTGGTGTGAGTGCAAATTCTCACTGTCATGTTGATTTGGACCTCCCTAATGATAGGTGATGATGAGCATGTTTTCATGTGCCTTTTGACCATCTGTTGTTCTTCATCAGAGAAGTGTCTGTTCATTTCCTCTCTCCATTTTTTGACAGGGCTTTTAGATTTTGCTTATTTTTGTGAGTCCTTTATAAATCCTGGATGTCAACCCTTTATTGAGGTGTTGAGTGTGAGTATTTTGTCCCACTCAATTAGCTATCGATTAGTTTTAGCCCATGTTTCTTTTGAAATTTGATTAGTCCCATTTGTTTTGTTTTGATTCTGTAGTTTTTGCCAATGCCACTGAAGACTTCTTTGAGATCTTGGAGTGTTCTGCCTATATTTTGCTTGGAGTATTCCATTAGATTCAGGTCTGATCTCAAGGTCTTTGATCCACTTTGAGTTGACTTTTGTATAAGACGTGAGATAGGGGATCCAGCTTTAATTTCTTGCATGTGGTTATCTAATTCTCCCAACACCATTTGTTGAAAAGGATGACTTTATTCCTTCTCATGCGCTCAGCAACTTTGTCAAAAATTAGTTAAACATAAACATGGGGGTTTATCCTGGGATATTCTATTCTGACTCATTGGTCAGAAAGTTTTTTTTTTTTGTAGTTGTTGTTCCAGTAGCATGCTTTTTTTTAAACTTTATTGAACCACTGTGAGATGGTTACAAGCTTTCATGTTTGGGTTACAATAACACAATGATCAAACACCCATCCCTCCACCAGTGCACATTCCCCACCACCAATATCCCCGGCATATACCCTCCCCCTTTCCCACCCTCCCCCTGCCTCCATGGCAGACAATATTCCCCATACTCTCTCTCTCCTTTTGGGCATTTATGGTTTGCAGTGCAGATACTGAGAGGTTATCACGTTTGGTCCATTATCTACTTTCAGCACACATCTCCCATTCCGACCGGTTCCTCAAGCCATCATTTTCTTGGTGATCCCTTCTCTATTCCAGCTGCCTTCTCCCCTTTGCCCATAAGGCAGGCTTCCAGCTATGGAGCAATCTTCCTGTCCCATGTATTCACTATCCTTAGATGTAAGCCTCATGTTATATTCTTTTATACGCCACAAATGAGTGCAGTCCTTCTATGTCAGCAGAATGTTGGGTTCTGTCTCTGAATCCATTTTGCCACTCTGTGTCTCTTAATTGGTGAATTTAGACCATTGACATTGAGAGAGATTATTGTTATAGGGTTTGGTGTCTTTCTGTAAGGGTCTGTTGTGCTTGTAGGGTTTGTCTTGTCTTACAGTAGCCCCGTTAGCCCTTCTTTTAGGTTTGGTTTTCAGTCTATGAAGTTCCTGAGCTGCTGTTTATCTAGAAAATAGTGTGTAGTGTGCCGTTCCTTCAAGTTTGAGTGAGAGTTTAGCCGGATAGAGTATTCTTGGTGAAGCGTTCATTTCAGTGAGTTTTTTCGCTATATCCTACCATTGCTTTCGGGCTTGGAGGGTTTCCTCTGATAAGTCTGCTGTGAATCTAAGGGGTGCTCCTTTGTATGTGATTTCCTTCTTTGACCTTGCTACTTGCAGTATTGTGTCTCTATCTGAGG